GCGACAAAACCTGGCGGGACCCTCCCTGCGGACGGAGTCTTGAGACCCGGCGAAGCTTGTGCCGGGTAAACCGGCGGAATCCTCGCAAAGCAATGCAACGGATTGAATCGGTGCTCAACCGCCCCTAGCCGGCGTGCACAAGCCGGGACGTGATCCCTCGCTCGGCCGGTTTCCGCCGGTGCCGCACCAGTTTCTGCCGTGGCCCTCCCGTGTCCGCTCACTGTCACTCGTGACGACAGTCGTTCTCAACTCGTGGTCTTGAAGTCGGCGAGTGTTTTGACGGCACCCCCCCCCCCTCTTTCCCACAGCGGCGTGCGTGCTGAGCGCCATTCCGCTGTTCGAGGCGTCCCAGGCCCTCTCGGTGCGGCTGCCCAACGTGCTCAACTCGTCCGTGCACTTCCCCTACGTCCTCTACGCCTACCTGGCCGTCCTCGCCGTCGGTGCGTGCAGTGCGCAGCGTGATCGGGAGGGGGGTCGATCGGTGATCGCCGGGGAGGAGCGTTGGTCAGAATCTTTATTTCGACTGCACGAGGAATCCGATGAGCTTACAAAGCTCCACGTTAAAGCACGCAGCCTCTCCCTGTCGAGTTTCCGCTGCTCCCTCACGACCCCCACCTCTTCTCCTTGGCCCGTCCTTCCCTCCATCCCTCTAGGTACCCCCCCAGTAATTCACGTACCCACTAAACCTCCCTCCCCGTACCCGCAGCCCTATTCACCGTATCGCATTTAGATACCCTCATTGTACCACTCGCAACCCTTGTAAAGTGCCTCGTATAAATGTGCTATATAGATAAGTACAGTACAAAACTACGAAAGTAGAGGTAAGCAAATCACTAAGAAAATAAAACTTTCATTTTACCGGGTAAGGTCCACTGAGCTATTAGCTTCTTTTTCAGAAGTGACGTGGCAATCACAAATGATAGCTCAACGAAGTGGCTTATCATCACGTGGTAATATTTAGCAGCCAAATAATTTAAATGAGAGCTCCTGGTGGGCCTTCGTGCGACCCTTGACGTGCGCCCCCCCCGACAATGCACAAAGAGTGAAAACACCACAGCACGATATCTGTATCAAGTAAGGAAGGCCAGCGTCTCGAGAAGCTGTGACTTCTTGTCTCGTTGTCTGTTAAAAACTCTAACAGATAGGTGGAATTCCTCCTGCCCTCTACGGGGAGGAATTCGAGACAAGAAGTCACAGCTTCTCGAGACGCTGGCCTTCCTTACTTGATACAGCTATCGTGCTGTGACGGTTCCACCTGAAGACGGAAGCTTGTGTTGCCTCCGAAACGTCGTGATTTTTATTTTACATTTATTAATTTAAAATGTTTACACCTACGTGACTTTACTGAAAAAACCTAAGAATATGAATCCTTGCAGTCACGAAAGCTTCAAATCTGGAAGTGAAAACACCGCCCGTCATCATCATCATCAGCGTCGTGCTGCTGCTGTCAACCCCCAATGGTTTCAAATGTGTGGTGGCTCTCACACTGATGATGCCTTGTCAGCGAAAGTGGCCCCCCTCTGAAAATGAGTGAAGAACACCGCTCTCACCGCATGTTTCTGGCGCTGGGTGCCGATAACCGCAGGGAGTTTGGGGAAATGCGTAGCACGTCGCGCCTTGTTTGAGTTGACCTTGCGCTTGACCTCGCCTTTGACCCTCCCCCTCCTCGTTGTGACCTTGCGTTTTACCTTGACCTTTGTGCTTGACCCCACCTTGCCTTTGACCACCCTCCATCCCCGTTGTGACCTTGCGTTTTACCTTGACCTTTGTGCTTGACCCCACCTTGCCTTTGACCACCCCCCCCCCCCGACCTCAGGTGTCTGCATCAACTTCCGCCACATGTACAAGCAGCGGAGCAAGCGGTTCGGAGTTCGCAAGCGCAAGCGCGCGTGACCGGGGCGGCCGGGGGAGTTGTCGGTGTGGGGGGGGGGGGGGCGGGGGGCGCTAGCGCCGTGGAGCTGGTGGAGCGGGTCGCGGGAGCTCGGGGTGGAGTGACGGTGGCTTGACGTCTCCTCCACGTGGCTCCAGGTTCCTCTGCAGCCATCATCGTCGTCATCATCGCAGTCATCGCCATCATCACGTTCATCACAAGCATCATCGTTCGCGAACGCAATCGTCATCGCGCTGTGTTTGTCATCGGCGCCGTCACCCTCGTCGTTATTATTACTGACATCACGATGGGCATTGTCTCGTCGCCATCAACATAATCGTCGCCATCAATATCGCCGCCATCGTCATCTCCATAAGCATCAGAGCAAGCGTCATCATAACTGTAATTATCATTCCTATCACCAGCATTTTCACCACTACCATCGTCTTCGCCGTCCCCTTCGTTGTAGTTTGTGTGCAGTCGCTAGTTGCTCCGCGTTTGTTGGCGTGCTGCTGTGTGCGATGGCAGTTGTAGCCGCGTGCTACGCCGCGTCCGGCTGGTTTTTTTTCCGCACGCGCGCCGTTCCTCCTTCCACGCATTCCACGCGTTCCACGCGTACACACACACGCACGCGCGTCGTAGTCCGGGCGGTTCGCGTTCCGATTGTCCACGTTTCATCGCGATTCTCGTGTCCCGCGGTGGAGACCGCCGGGGAGGGTAGGCGGCGATGTCGCGACCGACCGATCCGCAGAGATTTTTCCCACGTCTCCCGTTCGCCACGCGTGCGTTCAAGTGGGGAGCGATGGCACAGCGCTCGGCGCGCCTGGTTTTACAAACTCCTGGTGGCGAACATTAATTGGATTTCCGGCCACGGCTCCCGTCGGTGGCTAGCGATGTCTTGGTCCGGTACCTGGGTCTCTACCCCACCACCGCCTTCATGAAGTGTGGTGAAGTGTGGTCAAGCAATGCCTCCCCCCCTGTGACCGACACTGCGTGGGGAGGCCTCCATCCAGCAGTGGATTGACCGAGGATGCCCCGTTAAACGATTACAAATAAATGTTGATGGATGTAACGGGGGTTGTAACGTGAACGCTTCAGCCGCTTGACGCCGCTATATGCGTGCATTTAAAAAATGAAAAAAACTTGCAGTTTGTAATATGGAATCTGGATCACATCGAGATTCCGACTGGAATCTGAATCTCCGTCAATCGTTACCAGAGGTCGCAAACGGGTTTTGATTCCTTACCCGTACCCGGCCGCACCAGGGTCGCAAACGGGTACCCGTACCCATACCCTACCCTATACCCGGCTACCCGTACCCGGCCGGGTATCGGGTAGGGTACGAGTACCCGATTGCGACCTCTGGGATGAAGCCATGTTGCAGGCGCGGGTGGGTTGATTCTAGGAACTTGAATTGTGAGAAGAGACAAGACGTTGGGAAATGAGTGACAAACGGTTACTCACCAGTGACTCACGGCCTACCCGTACCCGGCCGCACCAGGGTCGCAAACGGGTACCCGTACCCGGTCGGGTACGGGTAGCCGGGTATCGGGTAGGGTACGGATATCGGGTACCCGGTTGCGACCTCTGATCGTTACCCCTCCCTCCCCCATCCACGTGGTTCACATCGCGACGGCACGAGCACCTGCACGCGAGTGATCTGTACAATGATGGTTACCAATAAAGATAGCGTTTCTAACTTCACGTTTGTCAACATTCCGTTTATTTGGTGATGCTGTTGTTGGCAGTGGCCTTGAAATAACAGTCGACGTTTCGCGCAATGGCCCTTCATCGTGTGACACTTTGGAGCGTGGATATTACGGCATTAGATTTCGGGCACAGAGGGGTCCAGTGGACTGTTGAGGTCAACGCACGGTTGACCTTTGACAGTACATATGTTTCGATTTAAAGCTTTTGTGACTGCAGGGATTCATCTTCTTGGTTCTTTCGGTAAAGAACAGGTCTGTCGGGAAGACAGCGTCTGCTTGCGTTGTGGCCAAAACGTCGTGAGAATTATTTTATTATGTTTTATATTTGTATTATTTTATTATTTCCCTTCTACGTGACTTTACCGAAATAACCAAGAAGATGAGTACATATGTTGGTTAAGTCATGGTTTGATAATGGGTTTTCCCTTTTTTCTGCCAACAAAACAGGTGTTAAGATTTTTTTATTTAAAGCTTTCGTGACTGCAGGGATTCATTTTCTTTGTTCTTTCGGTAAAGTCACGTAGAAGGGAAACAATAAAATAATAAAAATATAAAACAATTAAATTCTCACGACATTTCGACTGCAACACAAGCAATCATCCTGATGATGATTGCTTGTGTTGATGATTTCTCCAGGATAAATACATTTTCAGAAACATGTTCTGATTATCCTAAACGTATCACGTGACTCCCTGAGCCATCTTGCTCAGGGGAGAGAACACGGGACAGCCGCCTTGCTCAGAGCGGACGTCATAGAGCTGCTCGCCAATAGGAATCGAGCGTAAAGGACCCCCGCCCTTAGTAAGATGGCCGCTCACCAACAGGATCGAGCGTAAAGGACCCCCCCCTTAGTATGATGGCCGCTCATCAATAAGAATCGAGCGTAAAGGACCCCCCCTTAGTAAGATGGCCGCTCGCCAATAGGAATCAAGCGTAAAGGACCCCCCTTAGTAAGATGGCCGCTCACCAATAAGAATCGAGCGTAAAGGACCAACCTTAGTAAGATGGCCGCTCGCCAATAAGAATCGAGCGTAAAGAACCCCCCTTAGTAAGATGGCTGCGCACCAATAAGAATCGAGCGTAAAGGACCCCCCCCCCTTAGTAAGATGGCCGCTCGCCAATAGGAATCGAGCGTAAAGGACCCCCCCCCCTTAGTAAGATGGCCGCTCGCCAATAGGAATCGAACGTAAAGGACTCCCCTTAGTAAGATGGCCACTCGCCAATAGGAATCGAGGATAAAATACCTCCCTTAGTAAGATGGCCGCCGCGAATCCACTCGGCGACGCAAATTGAACTGTGGAGCATTGGGGCCCGTGGCGCGAGGCTTCCAATTCACTCATCAGGGCCCCGGTCACTTAAGCGCGGCGGCGACGGCGACTTCGCCGATGTGGAAGATCGGCGATTAACCGAGGCGAAGATTGGCGGTGGCGAGCCGGGTGGGGGTGGCCTTGGCCGGGCCATGTCGCTCGTGGCGTACGCGAGCAGCGACGAGGACGACGAGGAGAAGGCGGCGGCCGCGGCGTCGACCCCGGGCCTCTTGGCCCCGCGGCGGCGCGGGCAGCCAGTGCGCATCGCGGCGCCAGCCCTGCGAGCCGTGAGACCCTCACCGCCGTCACCGGACATGCTCTATCCACTGCTGCGTGAAGGCCTCGTCACCACCATCGCCATCATCACCAGCCATTCTCTATCCACTGCTGCATGAACCCTCTTCACCACCATCACCAGCCATTCTCTATCTACTGCTGCACGAAGCCCTCCCCACGCTCATCACCACCATCACCAGCCATTCTCTATCCACTGCTACTGCATGAAGCCCTCACCACCATCACCAGCCATTCTCTATCTACTGCTGCTACATGAAGGCCTCAAAACCACCATCACCACCATCACCAGCCATTCTCTATCCACTGCTGCATGAAACCCTCATCACCACCATCACCAGCCATTCTCTATCCACTGCTGCATGAAGCCCCCCCCACACTCATCACCACCATCACCAGCCATTCTCTATCCACTGCTACTGCATGAAGCCCTCATCACCACCATCACCAGCCATTCTCTATCCACTGCTACTGCATGAAACCCTCATCACCACCACCACCAGCCATTCTCTATCCACTGCTACTGCATGAAGCCCCCCCCACACTCATCACCACCATCACCAGCCATTCTCTATCCACTGCTACTGCATGAAACCCTCATCACCACCATCACCAGCCATTCTCTATCCACTGCTGCATGAAACCCTCATCACCACCATCACCAGCCATTCTCTATCTACTGCTACTGCATGAAACCCTGATCACCACCATCACCAGCCATTCTCTATCCACTGCTGCTGCATGAAGCCCTCATCACCACCATCACCAGCCATTCTCTATCCACTGCTACTACATGAAGCCCCCCCCACACTCATCACCACCATCACCAGCCATTCTCCACTGCTGCTGCATGAAGCCCTCATCACCACCATCACCAGCCATGCTCTATCCACTGCTGTGCTGGGAGGCTGTCGCCCCACACCACCTCGTCTCTGTCCAGGCGACGTGTCCCTGACCAAGTGCCACCGACGTGATGGTCACAGCCGATGAGGGATGTAGACTTCGTGTCGTCACGTCGCTTGTTCACACAACATCCTTCAGCTGCGTCTTAAGGCCCAGGTCACTCCTCCTGTGGATGTGTGGTTAGGGACGCCACGGTGGCTATGAGATGTTGACTACCTCTCCTGGTATGCAGGAGGTCGTGGGTTCCATCCCCACCCTGACTCCTGCTGCTGTATATTTGGAGTTTGTGGTGTCCCTCTCTCATCATCATCACGGTGGCTATGAGATGTTGACTACCTCGCCTGGTCTGCAGGAGGTCGTGGGTTCGATCCTGACACCTGCTGTATATTTGGAGTTTGCGTGTCTCTCTTATCATCGTCACGGTGGCTATGAGATGTTGACTACCTCGCCTATTATACAGGAGGTCGTGGGTTCGATCCCGACCCTGACGCCTGCTGCTGTATATTTGGAGTTTGCGTGTCTCTCTCATCATCACGGTGGCTAGGAGATGTCAACTACCTCGCCTGGTATGCAGGAGGTCGTGGGTTCAATCCTGACTGACGCCTGCTGCTGTATATTTGGAGTTTGCACGTTCTCCCCTTGGTCGTGTGGATTAACATTTAGAGACATCACGCGTTTAGAGTTTTGGCTGCTATAAATGTCCACGTGATGATAAGCCACTTTATTTCGCTATCATTTGTGGCCAGGTCGCTTCTGAAAAAGAAGCTAATAGCTCAGTGGGACTTGCCTGGTAAAATACAAAATAGTTTGGTTGTTGTGTGTTTTGATGTGATTGTGCATTTGTATTTACGTCACATTAGTAGCCTGCGTTCATGTACACACGAAGGTGTGTGTTTGTATCCTCTTTGGTTCTTTCGGTAAAGTCACGTAGGTAGAAAAATCTAATAAATCACGACGTTTCGATCGCAACACAAGCAATCGTCATCAGGTGGGACAACCACAGCAAGAAAAAAACTGCTGAAGTAGGCGTGTTGCGATCAAAACGTCGTGATATATTCATTTTCTACCCACGTGACTTTACCGAAAGAACCAAAGAGTATGGATTCCTGCAGTCACGAAAGCTTCAAATCAAGATCGGTGTGTATTTGGTTGCATGTAATTACGTGTGTATTTGTTTATGAATGTTTGTGATTATATGGGAGTGTTTGTGTCATTCAACCCATGGCACTTGGGTCTGCCCCGTGACCTCCAGTCAGTGAGCCTTCGACACTTTCACGTGGCCTCGGAGTGCACCAGGCCTGGCACGAGCGCCGTGGTGACGTCACCGCCACTTTAAATCTTGATTGAACGCTAATTTCTGAGGAAATAATTTTTGTGTTTAGTTTGTTGTCCTTCCCGCGCGCCTCCAAATAGCACGGTTGGTGACGTACAGTGCGAAAGAAGTTCAACATACACACACTTAGTGACGAATGGCGGCTGATGAACACAGGAACCTGTGTTCATACACCCATGTTTGTGTAACTGTTTAGGAGTCTGTGTTCACATGCTTACATGATTGTGTTCATGCTTATGGAGTCTTGTGTTCACATGCCATGAGGGTGTTGCCCCGTGTCCCGCAGCCTGACTCTGATGATGAGGACGAGGAGCCGAAAGTGAAGAGGTTTGTGCCGTCCACGGTGAGTGCCTCTTCCTCCGCCATCGCTCTCGCTCGCTCAGACGCACCGCCCCTATATTTCCGTCGCTCAATGCCGCTCACTCGCTCACCCCAGCTCACTCGCTCTCCCCCGCTCACTCGCTCACCCCCGCTCACTCGCTCACCGCCGGTCACTCGCTCACCCTCGCTCATCCCCGGTCACTCGCTCGCCCCCGCTCACTCGCTCACCCTCACTCACCCTCGCTCACCCGCTCACCGCCGGTCACTCGCTCATCCTCGCTCACTCGCTCACCCCACTCCGAGCACTCACGCGACCGCTGCTGTCAACTTCACTCACCGGTTTCCTCCCAGTCACTCGCTCACCCAGTTGTGCGACTCTTCAACTTGCCGGCAAGTTCGCACAACAACGGTAATAATTGGTGCTGTTAATTGTACACCATGTGACAACGACATTTGTTCGGCTACGTCGGGTGGCGTGCGGGGTCTAGACGACACAAATGTCATCGTCCCATTACGTTGGCCTGACGCAACAAGTCAATTCTGATTCGCGATGTCGGTAAACTCGCGTAGGGTGGCGCTTCACGCCGTCCGCCGCTTGGCAAACCCAACCGCGCTCCCCGTCTCGTTCCCCCGTGCCGGCAGGTGTCGCCGGGCGCCACGGGCCTCTCCGCGCTGCTGCCCAAGCCGCGGGGCGGCGTGCTGTCCGCCTCGTCGCTCGCCGGCACCAAGGTGACCTCGCGGCCGCTCGTGCCGCACGCCTTGACGAAGGCCCGCAGGGCCGCGGCCCCAACGGCGGCGCAGGTGCCCAGCCCCTCGGCCATCAAGGCGGCGTCGCGGGCGGCCCTGCTGCAGCGCGTGGCGCGGCAGGCGCTGCCCCACGCGCTTGACGACGACGCCAGTGACGGCGAGGAGGAGCAGGCGGCTAGCGGGGGCGGCGCCAGTTTCTTCTCGCTGCCGGCGCGGCCCGGCACGGGCGCCTCGCCGTCCGGCGTTGCCGTCAAGCTGCTGGGTAGGCCCACGCCGCCGGCGCCTGGTGGCCTCTTTAATGGAGCGGCTTCGGAATTAGTTCCGCGGTTTCATCTTCCGTGGCCCTTTCGCCAGCGGTGACGCGAGCCAGCGATTGCAGGGATGGGCTTTCAGATTACCGTGTACAAAACACGTTCCTTCGGAGTGGGCAGGTAGGAACTTTGTTGGACAGCGCATTCGTGCGATCCGTGTCACGCGGCGCAAGCTGCGTGGGGCGGCGTGTCACGTGGTGCTGAGCCCGCCCGAAGCGCTCCATAAAATACAAATCGAGGGCGTGGCTATGCACGACAGACAGAGAAATAATCCCTGGTGGGCAGTCTGGAACTGTTGTTCCTTCCTGTATTAATATCCTTATTCTGAAGTCTGCCCCGGCTCTTTTTCTCTTGGGACAGGAGCCGGGACGGCGGTGCCGTGCCCGGCGACGGGCGACTCCGTGCAGGACGCTCCCCTCGAGTTCTCCGGGATGAAGGCGGACGCTGGGGAGCCCGGAGAATTCCCCGGAGATTACGGCGGTGGTGGCTACCAGGTACCGCACCGCCACCACGGCACACACACACACACAGGTACCGCACCGCCACCACGGCACACACACACACACAGGTCACATGCAGCAACCACGTCACACACAGGTGTCGCACAGCCACCACGGCACACACACACACAGGTCACATGCCGCATCCACGGCACACACACACACAGGCCTGTCTGTATTCTTAGTCTTGGTTCTGGCTCAAGCGAGCAGTGGCTCAAGGCCCGTGAGCTTCACTTGAGCCGGCTGTGGGCACGGTCCCAGTCGCGCTCGGGATTTACACGAACCGAGCCTGAGCCGAGTCGCAGCCGAGCCACGAATAAGAATACGGCGCTGAGGGCTACGTTCGGTCGTAGTTCTTCACGGTCTCCGCCTCGCCGATTCCGTTGAGTCCACCGAGTCATTTGTTCCGTGCGCCAGGGCTACTACGAGCAACCGTACGGCGCAGAGATGGCAACTGCCGGCACCGAGCCTGGCACCAGCATCGTGGACAACGACGCGGTGAGAGGCCCCTTACCGCTCGCCTCACCACCTCGCCGCTCACCACACCACCTCGCAAATCACCACACCACCTCGCCGCTCACCACACCACCTCTCCACACACCATGCCACCTCTCCACACACCATGCCACGTCGCCACACCACCTAACTACTCATAACCTCGTTAAAAACCTAATCACCTAGCCTCTCACTACAAACACCCATCACCTCCCCTCACCTGTCCACACCTCGCCTCGCCGGCCCCTCTCCCGGTGGCCGCTAACATGGCCGCGTGTCGCCGGGCCTCAGTTCCGGCGGCTGCAGGGCAAGAGGAACCGCGGGGAGGAAATCAACTTCATTGAGATCAAGGGCGAGGAGCAGATGAGCGGCGCCAAGGAGTGGCTCACCAAGTCGCTCACCCAGGAGAAGACCATGAAGTCCTTCAGCAAGGTCACTCAGAGTTCCCCGGCGGCTTCACGGGGGCGGCCCGTGGCGGTGGCGCATCCGCCGCTTTGTTGCAGAGGTTTTTTTTTTGCCGTCGTTCTTGCCGAGTGCAATAACCGTTGTACGCCTTTTGGTGTCATCTGGTCCAACACCAATGGAGACTAGGCTCTAAGGAAAGCTGTCTCGGGTGTGGACCAATCAACTTCAAGGACAGTGCATATCATTATCAGAATTGTTTCTTTTTGTTTGCATTTTGACTGCTTGTGTTGTGGTTATTGCAAACATGATGCCTTGTATAAAGGTGTCAGTTTTGTACCAGTTTAAAGGGTTAAAACCTACTACTATGTGGACTCTCGCTTGTTCCACCTGTACGGGACGGAGCGTGTCCGCCCTTGCACGTGCGCGGGTTCTTCTCCGGGCGCTCCGGTTTCCTATCAATGCTCATTGATTGGTTCCTGCAAAGACCAACGCTCCAGTCTATTGACTCATCGTGGTGTTCCTGGGAAAATAGCTGAATCTCAATGTTACAATAATCTCCGTAATTATAATTGTTATTCTTATGAACCCTTGAGACCAAATACACGAGGAGGAAACGCTCCTAAAGTCTCCTGGACGGTGCTTGGTAGGATTAGCGCGGCGGGTTAGCGGGCAGTGCGACGGAATCCATTGCTTGGCCCGGGTCGTTGAGGTTTCCTTTTGTGCACGCCTCTTCGTCGTTGGCATCGCCCACGGTGGTGGGAAGGGGCCCCCGGGACGGCCGCGTGTGACGCCTCGTGCCGCTGCTGTGTTCACAGAAAAAGGGCGACCAGCCCTCCACCCAGCAGAAGCGCAAGCATCAGATCACCTACCTGATGCACCAGGTGAGCGCCACACTCGCTCCTCGCCACGCACGCCGCACTCGCCACAGTCCCTCTCCCATCTCCCTCTCTTCCATCTCCCTCTCGCCCATCTTCCTTCATCCCATCCTATCCTTCTATCTTCCAACCCTTTTTCTCCATCTCTCATGGATCACATCCCTGTCTCTTGCATCCCCTTCTCTCCCTACACCTCCTTCGCTCTCTCATACCCCTTTCTTTTTTTCCCTCCTCCTATTCCCCCACCGCTCACCTTCCATCTCTCTCCCCCCCCCCACCCCGGTCCCTACCCCAGGCGAAGGAGCGGGAGCTGGAGCTCAAAAACTCGTGGTCGGAGAACAAGCTGACTCGGCGCCAGACCCAGGCCAAATACGGCTTCTAGCGTCGGGCCAGCGCCACCGGCACCGGCACCACCGGCCGTTGTCAGCCGGCCGACGCGGCCAACTTCCCACAGTCAACCGGCCATAGCCAATGCCGCCGCGGTTAACGACCCACGGCTAACCGTCCATGGCCAATCCGGAGATTGGAGGTGGCGGCCGCGCCCTGTGGGGAGTTTGGAGGGAGTCTCCCTGGCACCGCTACGTGGTGCCGTTCTCGCCGTTTGGGTTCCCTGAGACGCCGCTAAATCCGGTCTCCGGCGGACCCGGGGCCGTACGCGCCACCGACATTGTGAGACGCGGGCGCCAGCGGAGAGTGAGGGCCAGCGCCTCCCCCCCACCCCCCACCCCCCTCTCTCTCGTTGGTGACCGCCGCTGTGTTTGCGCCGCCCGTGCCGCGTGAATGAACAATGTGAACAGGAACAGAGAATCGCACAAAAGTCATAACCGCGCGCGCGCTCAGGAACGTGTTGTCGCACACCCGCGTACGGATCTTGCGTGGAGGCCTTCCCACGCCATAGCTAATCGTTGGGGGGGGGGGGGGGGCGGAGGGTTTGTTTGGTTAATTCCGGATTGATAAAAGCGTGGTACAGAATGGTGGATTTTACTGCGCTGCCCTCCCGCTGCCTCCAATGCAGCAGCTGCAGCAACCTGTTGTGCATGGTGGTCGCTCACTCGAGCGCTTTCCAGGCGCAACCCTTGCTTAGCTTTGCGAGCCGGGGGGGGGGGGGGGGTAGGCTGCATTCCGGCCTAGCTCTCGAGGCACCGATAACTGTATGTGGGCCATTGACAGTGTTTTGGCCGGTAAAAACCCTTTTTGGACTTTGAGCGGGGTTTTTGACGATCATATGTTCGTGTAGTTTTGTGTGTGTGTGTGGTTATTTTTTTTACAAGAAAATAAAAATAAGCAAGCCATGTTTTCGTTCCCTGCGAGGCGTTCCCACCCACAAGCGAACGCTCTCTGCCCTGGGCGCCGTTGACTCCGAACGCTGGAGAGTTTTACATGTTGCACTGCAAGGCGGGTCGGGGGAGGTGGGGGGGGGGGTGGCTTCCACTCAACTCATAACCTCATTAAAAACAGCACCACCTCGTAAGCAAGAACCCATCGACCCGGGCACCGCACTGTGCGGAGTTTGATAATTGTTTTTTTACCCTTCTATCTGGCAACAAAACTGACAACTTTTTTACAAGGAGTCATGTTTGCATAGACCACAATACCTGCAGTCATAATGCAAGCAAAAACATAACTCTGATAATGTATGCACTGTCGTTGAAGTTGATTGGTCAGAGTTTATCAGAGTTATGTTTTTTGTTTGCATTTTGACTCCAGGTATTGTGGTCTATGCAAACATGACTCCATGTAAAAAAAAAAAGGTGTCAGTTTTGTTGCCAGATAGAAGGATAAAAAACCAATTATCATATTTTTTACTGGCAAATGAGGTTCCAATGGTGTGCGGAGTTTGTAAGAGTTCTCCTGCTGTCCGGCAGAGGGTTGCTGCCCCCAACATTTTCCGGTTTCCTCCCAGAGCTAAAAACAAAACCCGCCGGTCCTGGGAATGTGGAGTCGTGAGTGTGTGGGTGCGGGCTCCTGCCCCCCCCCCCCCTTCCTGCCCTCTACCCCTCCACGCTACCCGCCCCCCCCCCCCAAGCCACTGTCGCTCCTCGCCCCCACCGCCCGCATGGATGAATATCCGAGCGGGTCACGTGCTGTCTGATGTCACTTGAATGAACTCTGAACTTTGCGTGTGGGTGGCTTGTGTCGGTGGGGGTTCTGGCACCCGTGGCCACACGACGAGGTGGTTCCCCTGCAATAAAAGCCGTCTTTGTCTCTCCTCTCGGCGTTTGGCTGTCTCTTTTATTTTTAAATCTTTTATATTAAGTTCGCGTGCTTGCTTGCTTGCGTGCTTGCTTGCTTGCTTAGGACCGTGCAAATCTTTCGGTCGTTTTTTAACCCACTTCCCGTGATCCAATCGAGCTGACATTTTCCACACAGACTCGTTGTGCCAGACAATTATTGTTCGTGAAAAAAAATTCCCAAAATTTTACACTTTTTAGGCAAAAAAAATTTATTTTACATATATTCAAATAGAACGCATTCATGGCTTTGGCTGAACGTCAGAGTGTTAGAGCCCAGAGCGTAACCCCTCCACAGGCCGTGGTGGAGTAGCGCAGTTGGTCGCGCCCTCGCTTCCCATGCCAAAGGTCGCGGGATCGATCCCCGCGTCCTCCACAGGCGAATATATTTTTAAATCCTTTATATTAAGTTCGCTTGCTTGCTTAGGACCGTGCAAATCTTTCGCTCGTTTTTTAACCCACTTCCCGTGATCCAATCGAGCTGACATTTTCCACACAGACTCGTTGTGTGACAATTAATTTTCGTGAAATTTTTTTCCCAAAATTTTACACTGTTTAGGGAAAACAAATTAAATATTTAATTACCAATTGCTTAATACTGGCAGACAATCATCTGACCCATAGATTGCAGCCATCTCAAGCCAGAGGACGAGAGAACTCTCGCCGCCACGCATATAAAGGATTTAGAGTGAAAAACTTTGTTTTTACGGGTTTACTTGTTATTTGTCATCACGATTCTGTGAGTAAAAGGACTCAACGCCAAGCGGCCAGCAACGAACAGCACTAAGAGGGTTGAAGGAAGGCACGACCCGCACGGCACGCGCAGAGCGAGATGGTGACTCCAACACTGCAGTGATGCGGTGACAATCGGAATATTTATCCTGGAGGAATCCGATGAGCTATGAAGCTATTTTTCGCAGATGTCCAGTAGTGGCGCGTAAGTGCAAGAAAGGTGACCCAATCGCCCAAACGCATACAAATAAAACAAAACCATCCCCGTTCTAGCAGGCATAGCCTACTGAGGTATTGACTTCATTTTTAGAAGCGACCTGGCCACAAATGATAGCTCAACAAGGTGGCTTATCACCACGTGGAAATCTGTAGCAGCTAAATAATCTCAATGCATGGTAATTGGTTTTTTACCCTTTTATCTGGCAACAAAACTGACACCTTTTTTACAAGGAGTCATGTTTGCATTGACCACAATACCTGCGGTCGGAATGCAAACAAAAATCACACAACTGATAATGTCTGCAATGTCCTTGAAGTTGATTGGTCCACACCCGAGACAGCTTTCCTTAGAGCCTAGTCTCACATGGTGTTGGACCAGATGATGCCAAAAGGTGCACAACTCAAAAACAATGCACCATCAGAGTATGAGAGCTCGGGGTAAGCATTTACACCATTGGAACCTCATTTGCCAGTAAAACATGATAATTGTTTTTTTACCCTTTTATCTGGCAACAAAACTGACACCTTTTTTTTACAAGGAGTCATGTTTGCATTGACCACAATACCTGCGGTTGGAATGCAAACAAAAATCACAACTCTGATAATGTATGCACTGTCCTTGAAATTGATTGGTCCATATTCTTAGGTTTTTGCGGTTAAGTCACGTAAGTAAAACATCAAAATAAAAATAAAATAAAAATAAAAATCACGACGTTTCGGAGGCAACACAAGTCTCCGTCATCAGGTGGGACCGTCACAGCTGTGACGGTCCCACCTGATGATCACAGCTGTGACGGTCCCACCTGATGACGGAGACTTGTGTTGTCTCCGAAACGTCGTGATTTTTATTTTTATTTTATTTTTATTTTGATGTTTTACTTACGTGACTTAACCGCAAAAACCTAAGAATATGAATCTTTGCAGTCACGAAAGCTTCAAATCTAGAATTGATTGGTCCACACCCGAAACAGCTTTTCTTAGAGCCTCGTCTCACGTGTTTTTTTTTTACAGTGATACATTACTTTTTATTTCAAAGTCAAGTCATTAATCGGGTATTAAACATTTAAATCTCAAAGCCCAGCTGTTAATTAAAAGGCCACGTGCCACATCGTGTGGAGTAAAAGTCTCCGTTAAATGCTCCTGGAAAGGACCCCCAAGAAATTGTGCCACAATTAACAACAACTTACTTGCCCTGATTGAATAATTAAATAGGCATTAATAGTTTGCCGACGGGCGCATTATAATTTAATTTAAACCACGTAAAAGTGTGTCTCTTAGCCATCGAGTTAGTGAGGGGGGGCAGTTTCACACAGATGTGTGAGCTTATGAACGCCATTCAAACCAACAACTTTAAAACAAACCAAAAAAAATGAACAACAAAAAAAGCCCACCATGATCATTTGCATGCACGTGAAGACGGGTCGTCTCACATGGTGTTGGACCAGATGACGCCAAAAGGCGCAGAACTCAAAGGCAATGCACCATCAGAGTATGAGAGCTCGGGGTAAGCATTTACACCATTGGAACATCCTTCGCCAGTAGCATTTCGACCGCAGGTATTGTGGTCAATGCAAACATGACTCCTTGTAAAAATGAACCCGTAAAAACAAAGTTTTTCACTATAAATCCGTGGCGGCTAGAGTCCTCTCGTCCTCTGGCTTGAGATGGCTGCCACCTATGGGTCAGATGATTGCCTGCCACCATTAAGCAATTGGTAATTAAATATATTTTTTTTTCCCTAAAAAGTGTAAAGTTATGGAAAATAAATTGTCACGTACAACGAGTCTGTGTGCAAAATGTCAGCTCGATTGGATCACGGGAAGTGGGTTAAAAAACGACAGAAAGATTTGCACGGTCGTAAGCGTGCAAGCAAGCAAGCAAGTGAACTTAATATAAAGGATTTAAAAAAAGGTGTCAGTTTTGTTGCCAGATAAAAGGGTAAAAAAACAATAATTTTGCTGCTGGCAAAAGAGGTTCGAATCTCAATGCACGTGGAGGGAGAAGAAAAAATCCACGGGGGGAGAGCGAGAGACGCAGACACGTGGGTGGAGGCACCGAGGGATTGGTGGATCACGCAGATGTTGAGAAGGGGGGCAGCCATAAATGACGTCACGCACCTGGTGGGGGAGGGGGGTTTGAGAAATTTGACGTCGCATCAAAATGCGCAACTTTAAATAAATATAGACAACACGTTCTACTTGATTAAATAGACTTTTTAATAAATGTTTTCTCCTGCAACATCAGAGTGCAGCGCCACATTAAATACGCACTACAATGACAATAGTTTAAAGCGATTTGAAGCATAGTAGTAGGTTTTTACCCTTTCAACTGGTACAAAAACTGACACCTTTATACAAGGCATCATGTTTGCAATAACCACAACACAAGCAGTCAAATTGCAAACAAAAAGAAACAACTCTGAAAATGTGTTGTGGTTATTGCAAACATGATGCCTTGTATAAAGTTGTCAGTTTTTGTACCAGTTGAAAGGGTAAAAACCTACTACTATATTTTGCCACCGGTAAAGGAGGTCTCATAGTGTAAACGATTTGAAGCATGTTTTATTTTCAAAATGTAAATATGGTTTTGGGGGGGGGGGGGGGCAGAGCTTTGTGACGTCATATTTGAGGGGGGGGGGTCTGACTTTTTGTGACGCCGCGTGACGAGGGGGGGGGGGCGGTCAAAAATCGTCCAAAATCGCGTGACGTCATTTATGGACGGCCCCTGACCAGCAAACACATGGAGACGCGTATCGATTGGCTGAAAGCATCTGCACGCGTGGAGGACCACAGAACTTGGGGCAATCGTTGACCACCGCTCTCACCGAGAGCGAAGAGCGCCACGTCACAATTGGTGTGACGTCATGTCCCCCTCCCCGGTTGCCGCAGCGTCGGCCGCATTGGAAACGTTTCAAATGACGTCACGGCAATCGACAAACGACCTTCCGGCACGTGCGCGGCGGTGACGTCACCACATTCCTCCTTTGACGCGTTGACGTCATGACCTCTAAAGATGAGGTCGCGCGCTGCGCATGCGCACAACGACTTGGGCGACAATGGCAGGAACGGCATGCGCAGCGGTGAGCAGCGGGTGTCTATGTGTGTGTGTGTCTCTGTGTGTGTGTAGTGTGTGTGTGTGTCTGTGTGTGTGTCTGTGTGTGTGTGTGTCTGTGTGTGTGTGTAGTGTGTGTGTGTCTGTGTGTGTCTGTGTGTGTGTGTCTGTGTGTGTGTAGTGTGTGTCTGTGTGTGTGTGTGTCTCTGTGTGTGTGTAGTGTGTGTGTCTGTGTGTGTCTGTGTGTGTGTCTGTGTGTGTGTGTCTATGTGTGTGTGTGGGTGTGTGTCTATGTGTGTGTCTGTGTGTGTGTCTCTGTGTGTGTGTAGTGGTGTGTCTGTGTGTGTCTGTGTGTGTCTGTGTGTGTGTGTCTAGTGTGTGTGTAGTGTGTGTGTCTAGTGTGTATGTCTGTGTGTGTGTCTGTGGTGTGTAGTGTGTGTGTAGTGTGTGTGTGTAGTGTGTGTGTCTGCGTGTGTGTAGTGTGTGTGTCTAGTGTGTGTAGTGTGTGTGTAGTGTGTGTGTAGTGTGTGTAGTGTGTGTCTGTGTGTCGTGTGTGTGTGTCTGTGTGTGTGTCTAGACTCTAGTGTGTGTGTGTGTCTAGTGTGGTGTCTAGTGTGTGTGTGTCGTGTGTCTGTGTAGTGTGTGTCTGTGTGTGTCTGTGTGTATCGTGTGTGTGTGTCTGTGTGTGTGTCTAGACTCTAGTGTGTGTGTGTCTGTAGTGTGTGTGTCTAGTGTGCGTGTCTAGTGTGTGTGTGTCGTGTGTCTGTGTAGTGTGTGTGTCTAGTGTGTGTGTATATGTGTGTGTGTGTGTCTAGTGTGTGTGTCTGTGTGTGTGTCTAGACTCTAGTGTGTGTGTGTGTCGTGTGTCTGTGTAGTGTGTGTGTCTAGTGTGTGTGTCTATGTGTGTGTGTGTGTCTAGTGTGTGTGTCTGTGTGTGTGTCTAGACTCTAGTGTGTGTGTGTGTCGTGTGTCTGTGTAGTGTGTGTGTCTAGTGTGTGTGTCTATGTGTGTGTGTGTGTCTAGTGTGTGTGTCTGTGTGTGTGTCTAGACTCTAGTGTGTGTGTGTGTCTAGTGTGTGTGTCTAGTGTGTGTGTCTGTGTGTGTGTCTAGACTCTAGTGTGTGTGTGTGTCTAGTGTGTGTGTCTGTGTGTGTGTCTAGACTCTAGTGTGTGTGTGTGTCTAGTGTGTGTGTCTAGTGTGTGTGTGTCGTGTGTCTGTGTAGTGTGTGTGTCTAGTGTGTGTGTGTCGTGTGTCTGTGTAGTGTGTGTGTCTAGTGTGTGTGTCGTGTGTGTGGTGTTTATATCGTAGTCTCGTGGTAATTCATTGATCGACGCCCGGGTGCGATCAAGGGATGGCTCCCTATTGGTCAACCACGTTATGCATGCCGATGATTTGGTAATAGCTGCTCATTCAGAAGAGGAGTTGGAGACGCTGCTGCTGAGACTGGAGCGTGCCACTAAGAGGTGGGGGCCTTACCATCAGCCCCACCAAAACTAAGCACCTGCCTGGGTATTTTGTACCATCGGACATTCCACCCCCACAACTCCCAATCGGTGATGGGGCAGTTGTGGAGAGAGTGGAGAGTTTCCCATACCTGGGCAGTGTGCTTATGACCGGCTCCAGTTTAACAGCAGAGGTCTCACTCCGAATCAGTCGAGCGGCAATATCTTTTCATCGGTTGCGTAACGCTGTGTGGAAGCTAGCTGGTCTGTCGCTCCGCACGAAGCTTCAGGTCTTCTCGGCCACAGTCATTCCCTCCCTTCTCTACGCTTGCGAAACGTGGACCCCCCTAATGGAGCATCTTCGCCGGTTGGAAACATTTAGGCTGGCCTGCCTACGATCCATCCTGGGTTTAACCAGGCTGGATTGTGTGAGGAGCTCACAAATCCTTGAAAGATCTGGGCAAAGTCCCATCGGTGAGCTCCTCCGGCAGGCAAGGCTGCATTGGCTGGGTCATGTAGCCCGCATGCCCAGCCACCGCATGCCTAAACAGCTTTTGTTCGGCCGGATCGAGGGGGCTTAACGGGCGCGGCACGGCTAGAGAAGAGATGGAGTGATGTGGTACAGGAGGACGTGGAGCTGAGTGGACTTGCCGATGACCGGTACCAGCGGTGTCAAGATCGGCCTCTGTGGAGGAGGCTCGTGAAGGACGCTGCTGGGCAGTTGGAGGCAGTCGCCCTCCAACAACAACGGAGGGCGGAGGAGCGACGCTCACAACAACGAGCGGAGCGCCGGGTGCCTAAAGCACAGCAAGTTGGTACAGTAGGGGGCACAGGTGGTGCATCAGCCAGTCATCTCGGTCATCTCGGTCAGTCGACCCGTGGCACCTGCTGGGTCTGCCCCGTGACCTCCTGCCAGCAGGGCGTTCGACACTTCACGTGGCCTCAAGGTGCACATAGCCTGGCACAAGCGTCGTGGTGACGTCACCGCCACTTAGTGGCGAATGGCGGTTGTTGTGTGTCTAGACTCTAGTCTGTGTGTGTCTAGTGTGTGTGTGTCTAGTGTGTGTCTAGTGTGTGTGTAGTGTGTGTCTGTGTGTAGTGTGTGTGTCTAGTGTGTGTGTGTCTAGTGTGTGTGTAGTGTGTGTGTGTCTAGTGTGTGTGGTGTGTGTGTAATGTGTGTCTATGTGTGTGTGTCTAGTGTGTGTGTGTCTAGTGTGTGTGTGTCTAGTGTGTGTGTGTGTGTCTAGTGTGTGTGTCTAGTGTGTGTGTGTGTCTAGTGTGTGTGGTGTGTGTGTCTAGTGTGTGTGTGTAGTGTGTGTGTGTCTAGTGTGTGTGTGTCTGGTGTGTAGAACAGGAAACATCTTAAAGTGACTATGCGCAAACAGAAAAATCCAGGAAAAAACAGCAAAGTCTTCCAGAAAAAAAGCACCGTGTATCAACGCTGTGTGCAAAAATCCCAGTGGGATGCAAGTCAAACAATAACAACCATAGGACAATTTAGATTAAAGTCATCAGCCTAACTCTATACAACAACAAACAAATATGGCGAATCCAAAATGTTTTCGAAATCACCAAAATAAAGCTATAAAAACAACGTAACAGTGACCAATAGGACCAGGCAGGACCTCTCGTTGACTCGGCAATGACCAGGCCCTATAGTTGACTCGGTAACTGCCCGGTCCCACTAATTATCCCATTTCATAATAATTTCCGTCAGTTCACCAGCTGTCTAGGTGCTGCTCACGTGAAAACAGTGGGGCCCGTGCTCGTCAACGCGACGGACCACGGCGCGTCTCTCCGTCGGTGACGGTGACACCGACCCGCGTTTTTGTCGAGTTTGTTCATCGCCGCTGGGCGACTTGAGTCCACGGCCGCTGGGCCGCGTGGCCCTCGGCGGACGGACGGGGGGGCCACCTCCCACTTCAATGTCAATTCCGCGACGGGAGGTAACCGGGTGGGGGGGGGGGGTGTAACGGGGAGGGGTAATGGAGTAACTTAGAGAGGTATTGGGAGAGGTCAGAATCAGAATATTTATACCGGAGGAACCCGATGAGCTATGAGGATCTTCTTCTTGGTTCTTTCGGTAAAGTCGTCACGTAGAAGGGAAATAATAAAATAATAAAACATAATAAAATAATTCTCACGACGTTTCGGCCACAACGCAAGCAGCCGTCCTCAGGTGAAGACCAGGTCTGTCATTCAGACGCTGTCTTTCCGATAGACCTGTTCTTCACCTGAGGACGGCTGCTTGCGTTGTGGCCGAAACATCGTGAGAATTATTTGATTATGTTAAATTTTTATTATTTTATTATTTCCCTTCTACGTGACTTTACCGAAAGAACCAAGAAGATGAATCCCTGCAGTCACGAAAGCTTTATGAGGATCTTTTTAACAGATGTTCAGTAAGGTCGGGTAACGGGGGGGGGGGGGGGGGGGGGAGGTAACGAGGGGAGATACCGTGGAGACGTTAACGCGATTTCCCGTGGCAATAATAGCGCCGTCTCTGTTCCCAATAGCCGGGACGGGGTCAGGGTCACATCAACAACATGTTGATTGAATATCAACGTCAACCACAACAACCAGCTCCAATCGGGTACCGGGGGGGGGCTGTCACGCGGAACCCACAGTGACCCCCCCCCCCCCCACCTCAGTGCCGGAGAATCCTCGTAGCAAAAGTAAATCCATATGCTACGGGCTCCGCACTTTCAAGGGCCCCGCGCTAAATGCTTTCAAGCTATCAATTCCGGTTCAGTGATTCCGCACTTGCTCTATTGCTACAGTACTATACCGCCCTTTGACTTTTACGAACGACCGTGTGTTTCAGGTGAGCGATTTGTCGTATTATCTGGCTGTGTAGCAAATTAAAAATGCAATTACTTTACTATGCAAGTTAAACATTAATGTGTTTTAATATTTAAGTGTTTTTATTTTATTTAGCGCCCCTTCATAACATATGCTACAGGCCCCGTCCTAGCTTAATCCTGCCACTGCCTTCCCTCTGGCGGTGCAAGATAATCGAGTTGCCAGCATGGAGCTGAGTGAACAGATCGCTTACTGCAGTTGGCAGGGACCCCATTGGCTTAATTGAGACCCTGGCTTGGCAGGGAGAGCTGGGTTGATGTAAGAGTTTGACAGCAGACTATGTGACGGAGACCTCCGATGACAGCGGATGTAGCTGAGTGTATGTGCACATGGGTTTGGATGGGATCAGGGTTTAAAATTAGAACTGTTTTTACTTTACCAGGTACCAGGTACAGCTCTAGTTCAGAAGCGACCTGGCCACAAATGACAGTGGCTCATCACGTGGGAATTTATTGCGGCCAAAGACTCTTAAACGCGTGTTTCTAAATGTGGAGGGAAAATCCGGAGGACCCGGAGAAAAATCCACACGACCACGGGGAGAACGACGCAAACTTCAAACATAGGCGTCAGGGTCAGGATCGAACCCAAGACCTCCTGCACGCCAGGCGAGGCAGTTGACATCTCGCCACGGCGAATCAGAGGTCGCAACCGGGTACCCGATACCCGTACCCTACCCAATACCCGGCTACCCGTACCCGGCCGGGTTTGAACGGCAGTAGGGAGGACAAGGCGGATGATGCTACAGGGACCCTGGGATGACCAAGAGCTCGGTCGAGAGGGAGACCTGAGTTGATGGGGACCTGGGTTTCCACGGGATCTTGGTTTTAACGGTGACCTACGATAACGGAGATGCATCTGTGGCAGTTGTCCGCAACCAGAATAACAAGAGCCATTTTATTCATTAAAAAAACCAGCTCGGTATATCGGGAGCCGCCGCTGCACTGTGGCAAACACACGGGATGGCGGTCCCCGACATAGCGTCATCACGAAGCAGCGGCCCTTAGAGAGCCGCACGCACGCGGCTCCGTAGACCAGAGGTCGCAAGCGGGTTTTGATTCCTTACCCGTACCCGTACCCGGCCGCACCAGGGTCGCAAACAGGTACCCGTGCCCGTACCCGGCCGTATCCGTACCTACCCGATACCCAGCCGGGTATCGGGTAGGTACGGGTATCGTGTACCCGATTGCGACCTCTGGGATGAAGCCATGTTGCAGGCGCGGGTGGGTTGATTCTAGGAACTTGAATTGTGAGAAGAGACAAGACGTTGGGAAATGAGTGACAAACGATTACTCACCAGTGACTCACGGCCTACCCGTACCCGGCCGGGTACGGGTAGCCGGGTATCGGGTAGGGTACGGGTATCGGGGGGTACCCGGTTGCGACCTCTGCCGTAGACGCACGTCTTGTGGTGGTGCCGAGACTCGGGAGGCCTGGGAATGACAGGGCGACCTCGGCTGATGGGGAGGCCCCGGGCGTGAGCGGTGGCCCGCAGCTCGGTGACCCTGAGAGCCGACGGCGCTCCTCAAGGACAGCGGACGCGTCCTTGAGGAGGACGCGCGTCGTGTCTGTGTGTCTGTGCGTCTGTGCGTGTGTGTGGCCGCTATTATTAGCCGGCTTCTGCGCAACAGACTCCCTCGCGTGCCCGCGCTAAGGGTAATGATGTAGCTGCTCACCCCGAGCCCTCTGTGTCCTGACAGTGGCGTTGTCTTCGTGCTGTTTGCCTTTTGGCGTCCTCTGGTCTCGCGCCGTTTGAGACGAGGCTCTAAAGAAAGCTGCCTCTGGTGTGGACCAATCGGTTTCAAAGGCGACGCATCATCTACTGTCAGAGCGTGGTTTTTGATTGGCAAGTTTACCACAAGTGCTGTGTGGTTAATGCAGTCATGTGATTCCTTGCAAAAGGTTTCAGTTTTGTGTTTTAACGGTTTTATTGCCAGAAAGTGTTTGGCGTGTCTGTGTGTGTGTGTGACTTCATATATGCGTGTGTATTGGGCGCGGTGGTGTAGCGGTTCACACGCCGTGCTACGAACCTGACCATCCGAGTTTGATTCCCACTCACGGCCACCAACACCAGGGGCGATATTCTAAACCTGTCCTGGGCCCCCACTAGGTCGACTCGGCCACAAATGAAGTACCTGGTGCGATGCATAACTATCGCCACTCGGGAGACAAAGGCGGCCGGACACGGTCCTTGCCACACCACCCCCTCGTGTGCATTGCAAGTCAGGTAAAGGCTATATGGGGGATCTTTGTCTTTGTGTGCGTCGCTCAGATCTCACGGCTACTGAGGGGTGCCCAGCAGCGAGCAGGGGCGGCACCCGTCCGCTGGCAACATGCGTCCAGCAAGGTGAGCAGCTCGCTCTGCCCTCACCCCACCACTCGCCAGTTGCTCCCCACGCTCACCACGGCACCCCGACACTCGCCACCTCCCTCTCTAGCACGCACCACCGTCACCTGACACGCACCACCGTCACCTGACACGCACCACCGTCACCTGACACTCACCACCGTCACCTGACACTCACCACCGTCACCTGACACGCATCACCGTCACCTGACACGCACCACCGTCACCTGATACTCGCTGTCACTCCCCACCCTCCCCCCTGACCCTCGACCGGGTCCCCACAGGTGCCGCTCAGCACCGTCACGCTCATCCCGGGCGACGGCATCGGCCCCGAGATCTCCGCCGCCGTCGTCAAGATCTTCGACGCCGCTAGGGTAAGGGGGCGCGCCGCGGGGTCGCGCCGCGGGGTCGCTGAGGGGTCGCCGAGGGGTCGCTGCGGGGTCGCTGCGAGGTCGCTGCGGGGTCGCATCGCGGGGTCACTGCGGGGTCACCGCGGGGTCATGGCTCCGGAGTGGTGGAGCGACGCGGCCGTTGCTAAAAACCAATACCGATTGTTCGTAGTCATCGATTGCACGTGGTATGGGTGCCGTCGGTCTTATGGCGCTGCAGGGCGATCATCGCGCAGGAAGGCGCTGCTGGGTTTCACAGACACGGCCTGCGGTGGTTTCACAGTCGGTGGGGGGGTTATGAGGATGCGGTGTGATTTTTCAAATTTGGCAAATTTGCACCGCGCCACCCGGCACACGATGGCCCCCACTCGTGATGCTCACCGCTCTCTCCGCCGGCAGGCGCCGATCCAGTGGGAGGAGCGCAACGTGACGGCCATCCTCAGCTCGTCGGGCAAGTGGGTCATCCCCCCGGAGGCCAAGGAGTCGATGGATCGCAACAAGATGGGGCTGAAGGGTGAGAGAGCGACCCCCGCCCTGCGTGGCAGAGCGGACACTGTGCGGCACGTCGTTGTTTTTATCGGAGCGGTGTGCGTGGGGAGCGGTGTGTGTGCGTGGGGAGCGGTGTGTGTGTGGGGAGCGGTGTGTGTGCGTGGGGAGCGGTGTGTGTGCGTGTGGAGCGGTGTGTGTGTGTGGGGAGCGGTGTGTGTGTGTGTGTGGGGAGCGGCGTGTGTGTGTGTGGGGAGCGGTGTGTGTGTGTGTGGGGAGCGGTGTGTGTGTGTGTGGGGAGCGGTGTGTGTGTGTGTGGGGAGCGGTGTGTGTGTGTGTGGGGGGCGGTGTGTGTGTATGGGGCGCGGTGTGTGTGTGGGGAGCGGTAGGGTACGGCCACCACCGTGGCCGTGACGCGCCGTGGTGCGCTAACGACACACCACCGTAGGGCCCCTGAAGACGCCGGTGGCCGCGGGCCACCCGTCCATGAACCTGCTGCTGCGCAAGACCTTTGACCTGTACGCCAACGTGCGCCCGTGCGTGTCCATCGAGGGCTTCCGCACGCCCTACGACGACGTGGACCTGGTGACGATCCGCGAGAACACGGAGGGCGAGTACAGCGGCATCGAGCACGTGGTGCGGCCTGCCCCCACACGCACACACACACCGCTCTCCACACACACACCGCTCCCCACACACACACACACACACCGCTCCCCACACACACAACGCTCCCCACACACACACCGCTCCCCACACACACCACTCCCGCCGCACACACCGCTCCCCACACACACACCGCTCCCCACACACACACCGCTCCCCGCACACCGCTCCCCACACACCGCTCCCCACACACCGGTCCACGCACACACACACACACCGCTCCCCACACACATACACCGCTCCCCACACACACCATTCCCCCCGCACACACCGCTCCCCACACACACACCGCTCCCCGCACACCGCTCCCCACACACCGCTCCCCACACACCGCTCCACGCACACACCATGTCGCACCGCCACTACACGCCGACTCGTGCAACAACACGCCAACATGTACCCCACCAGGCCGTGTGCGGCTAGCACCGCCGTGCTGCGTGCTGCGTGCGTGGTGCTGCGTGCTGCGTGCTGCGTGCGTGGTGCTGCGTGCTGCGTGCTGCGTGCTGCGTGCTGCGTGCTGCGTGCTGCGTGCTGCGTGCTGCGTTATGCGTGCTGCAGTGCGTGGTGCTGGCCACCCACCCCCCTCGTGCGCCGCGCTAACGGCCTCCGCAGGCGTCCTCGCTAACGGCACTCGCGCCGGCCGTCTGCGCAGGCTAAGGCGGGGGGGGGGTCTTTTGTCCTTGCGCTCAGATCGTGGACGGCGTGGTGCAGAGCATCAAGCTGATCACGGAGCAGGCGAGCCGGCGCGTGGCGGAGTTCGCGTTTGAGTACGCGCGCAGCAACAAGCGTCACACCGTCACCGCCGTTCACAAGGCCAACATCATGTGAGCGCCGCGGCCGCGGCCAACCCCCGCTCCCCTTCCCCGAGTGAAGTGTGCCACGATCTGTCGAGAGTGGCGTGAGATGAGAGGGGAGAGGTGGGAGAGCGTGTGGGGTGGAGGGGAGTGGCGTGAGATGAGGGGGAGAGGTGGGAGAGAGCGGGTGGAGGGGAGTGGCGTGAGATGAGAGGGGAGAGGTGGGAGAGCGTGTGGGTGGAGGGGAGTGGAGTGAGATGAGGGAGAGAGGTGGGAGAGCGTGTGGGTGGAGGGGAGTGGAGTGAGATGAGAGGGGAGAGGTGGGAGAGCGTGTGGGTGGAGGGGAGTGGAGTGAGATAAGAGTGAACTTGCGGCTTTGCTTCAGGCAGAGTGCCGTTGTCCGTGCAATGACGCTGCGGACGCGCGACCGCACCGCGCGACCCCACCGCGTGACCCCACCGCGTAACCCCACCGCGCGACCCCACCGCGTGACCCCACCGCGCGACCCCACCGCGTGACCCCACCGCGTGACCCCACCGCGTAACCCCACCGCGCGACCCCACCGCGTAACCCCACCGCGCGACCCCACCGCGCGACCCCACCGCGTGACCCCACCGCGTGACCCCACCGCGTGACCCCACCACGTGACCCCACCGCGTGACCCCGGGCCCGTTGCCGTCCGTGCGTCTGCGTGCAGGCGCTTGTCGGACGGCCTCTTCCTGAAGAAGTGTCGCGAGGTCGCCGAGACCTTCAAGGACATCAAGTTCACGGAGATGTACCTGGACACTGTGTGCCTCAACGTGAGTCGTGGGTTGGACTGTGTGTTCTCTCCCCCTGGTCTGCGTGGGTTTACTCCGGGGTCCCTGGCTCCTTCCCACAGCTAAACCCACACACCCCGTGGAACTGCTATCGGCCAAACCACAGTGCTGAAAGAATTGACCTGCAAATCGCTGAATTGGCATCGCACAGAGCAGCAGCAGCGTCGTCCCCCTCTGCGAAAACTTGGCAGGACCCTCTTAAAAAAAAGAGTCTTGAGACTCGGCGATGATATCTTAGGTAAACAAGCAGAACAATAACAACAACAACAACAACAGCAGCAACAACAATAATATCGTACAGCACGCGAACTTGCCGTGTGCCGTCCGCTGCTGGGGCGGTTGTAACCGGCGTGCTGCGTTGGCCGTCCACAGATGGTGCAGGACCCCACGCACTTCGACGTGCTGGTCATGCCCAACCTGTACGGGGACATCCTGAGGTGGGCGCACCGAGTCACGGCACACCACGTGATGCCTCGGTGCATCGCACAGCGCCGTGTGGCACTACGCTACATCGCACCACCCACTGTAACACACAGTGCCGTGTCCCCACCGTGTCCCCCCACCCACGTGGTTGTGAGTGCCACCCACTGACCCCCCCCGCCCCCGCCGCCCCCGCTGTTGCAGTGACCTGTGCGCGGGTCTCATCGGGGGCCTCGGGGTCACTCCCAGCGGCAACATCGGCACCAACGGCGTTGCCATCTTCGAGTCGGTGAGTGTGGGGCCGTCCGTACGGCCGCCGCCGCCACCGCCGCCGCACCACCACACCGTGTGTGTGCATGCTGAACTTCTTTTGCGCTGCACGTGGCAGACCGTGGTAATCGTGCGTGCGGGTGCTAATCACCACTACAACACCGCCACACCACTACCACACCACCACCACCACCACCGGTAATTAACGACGATAATCAACGCCGCCGACGACGACGTCGATAATAACGATCGCCTTCGCCCGCAGGTGCACGGCACGGCACCCGACATCGCCGGCAAGGACCTGGCGAACCCCACGGCGCTGCTCCTGAGCGCCGTGATGATGCTGCGCCACATGGGCCACACGGGCTACGCCCAGCGCATCGAGGCGGCCTGCTACGGCACCATCAAGGACGGCAAGGTACGGCGGCGATGGCGCCGGGTCGCACTAGTGTAGTGTATAGTGTACTATACTAGTACAGCACTAGGGTGTAGTGTATAGTCGTGTAGTGTATAGTAGTGTAGTGTATAGTGTAGTGTACTAGTACAGCACTAGTGTAGTGTATAGTGTAGTGTATAGTATACTAGACTAGTACAGCACTAGTGTATAGTGTAGTGTGTAGTGTAGTGTATAGTAGTGTAGTGTATAGTGTAGTATACTAGTACAGCACTAACCGGTTGTGTTGGAGAGCCAAGCCACAACATTTACCATCTGAGTACGACGTTTCGCCAGTAATTACAACGAGCTTCATCAGGCGACATGAAACATTTAAGGAAGGAGAGCGACATGAGAGGGGGAGAGGGAGGAGAGCGAGATGAGAGGGGGAGAGGGAGGAGAGCGAGATGAGAGGGGGGGAGAGAGAGGAGAGTGAGGGGAGAGGGGGAGAGGTAGGAGAGGGAGATGAGAGGGGGAGAGAGAGGAGAGGGAGATGAGAGGGGGAGAGGTAGGAGAGCGAGATGAGAGGGGGAGAGGTAGGAGAGCGAGATGAGAGGGGGAGAGGTAGGAGAGCGAGATGAGAGGGGGAGAGGGAGGAGAGTGAGATGAGAGGGCGAGAGGGAGGAGAGGGAGATGAGAGGGTGAGAGGTAGGAGAGCGAGATGAGAGGGGGAGAGGTAGGAGAGCGAGATGAGAGGGCGAGAGGGAGGAGAGGGAGATGAGAGGGTGAGAGGGAGGAGAGGGAGATGAGAGGGTGAGAGGGAGGAGAGGGAGATGAGAGGGCGAGAGGGAGGAGAGTGAGATGAGAGGGCGAGAGGGAGGAGAGGGAGATGAGAGGGTGAGAGGTAGGAGAGCGAGATGAGAGGGGGAGAGGTAGGAGAGCGAGATGAGAGGGCGAGAGGGAGGAGAGGGAGATGAGAGGGTGAGAGGGAGGAGAGGGAGATGAGAGGGTGAGAGGGAGGAGAGGGAGATGAGAGGGTGAGAGGGAGGAGAGGGAGATGAGAGGGTGAGAGGTAGGAGAGGGAGATGAGAGGGCGAGAGGTAGGAGAGTGAGGGGAGAGAGAGGAGAGTGAGGGGAGAGGGGGAGAGGTAGGAGAGCGAGATGAGAGGGCGAGAGGTAGGAGAGTGAGGGGAGAGAGAAGAGAGTGAGGGGAGAGGGTGAGAGGTAGCAAGAAGCAACTCCCCCAAAGGAAGTGCTCTCTCGATTCCGTTGATCTGTAAAACCCGGCCTGGTTTGTGGAAGGATCGGACGTATCTGCACCGTTTCCCCTCTCACGCCCCGCCCCTCGCCGCGTGTCCCGTGCCCCAGGTGCTCACGGGAGACCTGGGAGGGAAGGCAAAGTGCTCCGAGTTCACGGCCGAGATCTGCAGCCGCGTCAAGGACACGGAGTGACGTCAGCCTCGTCGTCGCCGCCACCGCGTTCCCACCCACCGCCTGGGCCGCCCCCTCCCTCCATCGTTGCGGCCAGCACGTGCGTGTAGGGCCCCTATTCTCTTGCATGCCCCATGGTTACTGACAAGGCCCCATGGTTACTGACAAGGCCGGCCGCCGCCGCCGCCGCCAAAGCCGAGAAGAGCTGGCCTAGGCTGCGGTCGCGGCGGCGGCGGTGGTCCTAGGTGGTTGATAATCGTCTAATACTGTCTGCATTTCCGGCAATTGTTCATTTTCGCGCAACACACGTACACACACGTGCACACACGTGCGCACACGTGCACACGCACGCACACGTACGCACACGCACGCACACATGCGCACGCACGCATTCACACGTACTGACCGCACGTACAGACGCACGCACAGACCGCACGCACAGACCGCACGCACTCCGAATAGGTGCTCGTCCGTCACGTTTCAGGCCTCCGTAAAGGTGGCCGCCACGCGTCGTCGTCGTCTTCTTCGTCTTAAGCAAACTTCCGTTCCGCAGGGGCCACGCGGCTTGCCTGACGCCGTCCGTCCTTCCACGCCAATTCCAGAGCCGTTGGGACTTCCGGTCCTTTCCGTTTCAAACGCCGCGCAGCTTTTCAACGACGTCCGTGCGACGTCGGAATTGTTCGTGTCTGAAACGCACAATCCGCGTGCCGTGTCGCGCCGGGGTCCAGAGGGAGAGAGAGGCCCCGGGGGGCCTTTGCCGTGTCTGTCCGCGAGGTGGGGGGCCCCCCCCACGCTCCCGTGGGCACGGAGGCCGCGTCGCGCGAGAAGCGTCGCGTCGCGTGGGTGCTCGTAGGTGGCGCGATGCAGCTCGGTGATGTTGCCAAACTCCACGAGTTTCGTTTTTGTCGGCGCCGCTGGTGCCGCCGATGGTGGTGGTGGTGATGGTGGTGATGGCGGTGGTGGTGGTTATGGTGGTGGAGCGGGCTGGACCAGAGCCATCAGCCCCAGCCGCCCCCCCCCCACCGCCCCCCCACCACTACTGCCCCCCACTACTCCCCACCCCCCACCACTACTCCCCCCCCACCTCCCCCCCACCCCCACCGTGCCATCGCCTTAATCTGCAAGGGGATAAACGTCACTCGCCCCTTCCCGTAACGAGACCTCAGTTCATTTCATTTCCGCCGCCAATCATTCCACTCCTCATCTGCCTCCTCCGCCGTGCTGTGACTAAAACACGGGGGGGCGAGCGCCGTTTATCCCGGGATTAAGGAGGGAACCTCAACCCAACAACAAAAGGGCACTTTTGTGATATAAAGATGGAATCCCCCCCACCCCCCCCCAATAGCCTTGAGCACACTGTTTGGGGCAAGTGCTCCGAACGAAGGCCGGCACTGACACACGACGAGGTGGGTGGCCAACAACACCCCCAGTGCTGGGGTTTTAACACCGCACCAGGTACTCAATTGAGGCCGAGTCGACCTAGGGGAGGGCCCAGGACCGGTTCAAACATTCGCCGCTGTGAGCAATGGTGACTGCCTCCTCCTCGAGTGGTCCGTGCAGTTCCAGGTCTTGGCTCCCCCGACTCCCCTGACTCCCTCCCCACCCTCCCAAGTCGTTTTACATCATTTCTCTCACTCCGTCTCTTGGCCGACGTCCCTTACGCCGGTTCAGCTTCCTCCATAACCCCCCCCCCACCTCTTGAGAATGTTTCCCGAAGGCGTTGACTCATGGGTTGTTGTAAATCGTTACAGAATCCATGCGTGTGCATGGTTACCCCCCCCCCCCTAACGTATTGAAAAATCTGTTTATATACAGGGCGCTTCAACAGAAATGTGAACACTTCTGAGAATTTGCAACGACACTACGTTGAATGTGCCGCCTCCGTGTTCTGGAGACCACCTGGAGAAGATTCCAGGCCACGTGTTGGAAACCCTTTCGACTGTTTGAAGCTATTAACATCACACTTGTTATCACGTTCTCTATTTAAAAACGATAGGCCCATATAAGTGTTCACATTTGTTTGAAGCACCCAGTGTGTGTGTGTGTATATGCTTTTTGAGTGGGTAGGGAGGGGATGGAGCTCATTTTAAATGGAACTCTGCGATGATGATGATGAAGATGATGAAGAGTAGTCCACTTGCGACTCCGCCGACCCCACTGATACGGCGGACGGGGTGAGAGCTTGTACGCACCGATTGTTGATCGTGGCCGACCAGCGCGGCTCCCCACCCATTGTCGTTTGCTGCTGCCGCTAAACGTAATAAGCACATAATAAAGAATCACGCGCGCTTCCCGCCTGCGTCTCCGTACGTGCGCGGCCGCGAGGCCGGTGACCCGGGTGCCCGGTTGGGTCACGGCTCACCGGCTCGCCGACGTGCCGCACCGCTGTGGCGGTGGCGGTGGGGTTCGGCGCCGTTGCCCGGATCGAGGGAAAGGAACGTGCACGCGGTTCCGAAGGAGAACGAGAAGAAGCTGGCGCCCGGTCGGCACGTGGAGCAAAACGTCGGACCTCGTTGCCCAACCTTAAACGAGGTGGGGGGAGGGGGGGAGCTGTACTGTGGAACAAGGTGGGGGACCCCCCCCCCCTTACCTCCCTCTCACCCCCTTCACCTGTAGAGCTCTCTCAACGCCCCAACGTGAAAGTGCGGTTAGAGCAGCTGCCGATTTTATCTCGACCGGTCTGCCTGCTTTGTTTTTTTCAAAGCTTTTCAGCCGCGATTGAAAGTTTCGATTTAAAGTTTTCGTGACTGCAGGGATTCATCTTCTTGGTTCTTTCGGTAAAGTCACGTAGAAAAAAAAAAGCTTCTTTATTTTATTATTTCCCTTCTACGTGACTTTACCAAAAGAACGAAGAATACGGTTGAAAGTGTTTACACAGCAGCCGCAGCAGCAGCAAAAACACAATGTCAACTTGTAACGATATTGCCACACGGCACAGGATTTGCTCGCTCTCAACAAGAAAGCGTCCACAGACAGCAGTCACGTGATGGGCCGGCACCAACAACTGCCCAAGCTCTGCAGTCCTCTACATTAAGGCGTTTCCAAGTCCACTTAATCAGTGTTTGCATTCAGGAAGCCGGATTTTTTTTTTCAAAAGCTACGCGTGCGAGGGGGAAACACCACCCCATACAGAGGGAACGGCCGAGGTCCACGTTTTTACGATAACCGCATTCTCCTGACAGAGCCAGGCTACAACTCCTCCTCGACCCACGGGGAAAGGGAGTTTCACAACACTCGCACGCTCCACCAGCCCTCGCTGCTGCCTGCACGGTGCCGAATTTCATCCAGCCACGTGCAGCGTGGCCACGGTTCGCCCCGTCCTCGACGAGGGTGGCGGTGATGCACGCTAACTCGTGAAGAGGATCCGGTGTGGCGTTTGCTCTGCAGGACCCAACAAACGCCGAATTGTGGACCACACATTCATCTTTAAAGGTTGCCCAAAAGCTTGGCGAAACCACAACCCAGAGCAACAATTACGTTGCTTTGCCTTCACCGCTCGCCCCCGTCGACTCCGCGCTTGCCCATTCAGTTCAGAACTTTCTGAAACGCGCGTTGTCGCAAGGCGATGCGTAATCCACGTGCAAGGCGCGGTTTGTTCCTAACCGGCAGTGCAATGTCGGCCACGGTGCAGCGGGTTTGTAAATGTGCTTTTATTTATAAGTTATTAAAACACAACATTATGGGCAAAGGCCTGGATACGAACGCGCGACAGACACGGGGGGGGGGGGGAGGTCAAAGGCAAGGTGGGGTCAAGGTCACAACGGGGAGGGGGGGGTCAAAGGCGAGGTCAAGCGCAAGGTCAACTCAAACAAGGCGCGACGTGCTACGCATTTCCCCAAACTCCCTGCGGTTATCGGTACCCAGCGCCAGAAACATGCGGTGAGAGCGGTGTTCTTCACTCATTTTCAGAGGGGGGCCACTTTCGCTGACAAGGCATCATCAGTGTGAGAGCCGCCACACATTTGAAACCATTGGGGGTTGACAGCAGCAGCATGATGATGATGACGGGCGGTGTTTTCACTCTTTGTGCATTGTCGGGGGGGGGGGGGGGAGGCGCACCTCAGGGGTCGCGCGAAGGCCCACCAGGAGCTCTCGTTTAAATTATTTGGCTGCTATAGATTTCCACCTGATGATGCCCTTCGATGCTGCCCTCCGTGACCCAACTCCAGAGCGGAGAGATGGGTTCCAATTTTTCAGGGCGGAATGGGTAAGGGACTCGGAGGTTCGTCCGCGCGGAAGGAGAGAGATGGGTGTGGAATCGGGGCGGTGGACCGTGTTGTGGCGAGATGAGACGCACGCTAGATCAACGAGGGCAGATGACCGAGACCGCCACTGGAGTGGCACCCATAGGGTAACAACCAAGGTGAAGAGAAGACCTAAAAGCCAGACACTGGTCCATAACAGGTTTTTTTTTGGGGGGTTAGATCACGTAAATGTGTCGTTAAACCCGCCACAGCCAATAAGTAATGTTTGTCACGGAAACAGAACGTGCCAATTCGCTACGAGTACAGCACACCGGTGTGTTGGAGAGCCAAGCCACATTAACAATCTGACGTTTTGCCAGTAATTACAACTAGCGTCATCACTACACACTGGCGATGACGAAACTGTACAATCACTCCTTGAAGGACGTGCCAACTATAACCCCCCAAAAACCTGAATCCAGTTTGTTTCGACACTTTATTAGGAGACTTGCAGGGGGGAGGACACACAACAATTCTACAACAGCTTGAAGGATCTTCTAGAAGGAAGCAATGTCATTGGTTTCACCCTTTGACCTTGACAGAAGGCGTCTGCAGCGAGGAAGGTGAAATCCCATCTCCCCCTCCCCGTCTCATTCGCTCTACACCCAGCTGGGGGTGAGACACAACTCCACTCCAGCTGGAGAAGGGGAGTGGGGTGGAAGGGGCAAGCCATCGCTTCCTTCTGTGAGACCGTGCTTCCAACATTGCTAGACTCCCACAGAGACCCACAGATTCACGAAGACCTCGCAACAGCGACATTCTGGGCCGAGGACATTGTGTAGATGTACGAGCGATCCCCGGTGTGCCTTCAGGGATCCTGTAACCGTGTACGAGGGGGGGGGTAACGCTCGCTCGACTGTCAGACACCCATGATGGAATCGGCTCCTGCCAGGCGCTAGGGGTGCCGTGTGGTGTTGCAGCAGAGGCTCGCAAGAGGCGGCAGCGGTTTGGGGTGGGTCGGATGGGGGGATGCCTCCGTCAAGCGTACGTATGTTGAACTTTAAACGTCGTACTCACATTGTAAATGTTGTGGATTTGCACTCCAACACACCGATGTTGCTGTCCTAGTAACGAATTGACGCGTTCTGTTTACGCGACACAACATGACCAATTGGCTGTGGTGGGTTTAACGACACACATTTACGCGATCTAACCCAAAAAACTACATTATGGATGTTGAACTTCTGTCGCGCCGTACGCAGCCGACCGTGCGAATCGGAGGTGCGGGCGAAGGACGACAACTAAACGCACAGATCAAAAATAAACATCGAGCCCGTGGATCGACCACCGCTCGAAGACGATGAGACATTTGAGTTTTTCTCGTGACATTTGTCGAGGACCGTCGCAGGGGTCCATCTCGCAGCGTTGTCGGAGGATCGTCGGGAAGTTGGCAACGCCGGGTGCCAGATGTCACCGCAAGGGGGGGGGGGGTGTGGAAGTGCAGCGGGAGTCGGCTTGCGGAGCCTCAGCAGCCCACCCAGGGGTCGAAGCCGCTCTTGCGGGACACGAAGGCGAGGCGGCGCGCCATGTCCGTGTCGTAGATGCGCTTGCAGGCCTCGAAGCTCTTGCGCTGGCGCTGGCGGCACGGCTTCTCAAAGTAGCGGCGCCTCCGAGCGTCCTCCAGCACCCGGTCGTGCGTCAGGATCCTGCGGTGGCGACACGGGACCCACGGCACGGGATTAAGAGGGGGTGGTGGGGGGGAGATTAGAGGGGGGGGGGGGTCAGGGAGTCAGGGATCATCGGGGCAGGGGTAGGGAAGCTGTTCCATCTCGTGGGCCGTATATGGGACTTTACACCCCTAATGGCGAGCCACCGTACGTGGACACGAACGTGAAGACAGAGATGGACCGCCACAGGGGCCCACAGACTTACACAGAGACCCATAGACTCTCACAGAGACCCACAGACTCGCACAGAGACCCACAGACTCGCACAGAGACCCACAGACTCGCACAGAGATCCACAGACTCGCAAAGGGGCCCACAGACTCGCACAGAGACCACAGACTCGCACAGAGACCCACAGACTCGCACAGAGATCCACAAACTCGCAAAGGGACCCACAGACTCGCAAAGGGACCCACAGACTCGCACAGAGACCCACAGAGACCCACAGACTCACACAGAGACCAACAGACTCACACAGAGACCAACAGACTCACAGAGACCCACAGACTCACACAGAGACCCACAGACACCCACAGACTCACACAGATACCCACAGACTCGCACAGAGACCCACAGACTCGCACAGAGACCCACAGACTCGCACAGAGACCCACAGACTCACACAGAGACCCACAGACGTCCACATACTTACACAGAGACCCACAGACACCCACAGAGACCCACAGACTCGCACAGAGACCCACAGACTCCCACCGAGAGCGGCTCCCACAGAGACCCACAGGCTCACACAGACTTACACAGAGACCCACAGACTCACACAGACAACCACAGACTTACACAGAGACTCACATTCTCCCACCGAGAGAGGCTCCCACAGAGACCCACAGACTTACACAGACTTACACAGAGACCCACAGACACCCACAGAGACCCACAGACTCACACAGATACCCATAGAGACCCACAGACACCCACAGACTTACACAGATACCCACAGACACCCACAGACCCACACAGAGACCCACAGACCCACACAGAGACCCACAGACTTACACAGAGACTCACAGACACCCACAGAGACCCACAGACTCACACAGAGACCCACAGACTCCCACCGAGAGAGGCTCCCACAGAAACCCACAGACTCACACAGACTTACACAGAGACCCACAGACTCACACAGACACCCACAGACTTACACAGAGACTCACATTCTCCCACCGAGAGAGGCTCCCACAGAGACCCACAGACACCCACAGACTTACACAGAGACCCACAGAAACCCACAGACTCACACAGATACCCATAGAGACCCACAGACACCCACAGACTCACACAGAGACCCACAGACTCACACAGACACCCACAGACACCCACACAGAGACCCACAGACTCACACAGAGACCACAGACTTACACAGAGACCCACAGACTCACACAGAGACCCACAGACTCACACAGAGACCCACAGACTCACACAGGGACCCATAGACTCACACAGAGACCACAGACTCACACAGGGACCCACAGACTCACACAGACACCCACAGACACCCACACAGAGACCCACAGACTCGCACAGAGACCCACAGACTCACACAGAGACCCACAGACTCGCACAGAGACCCATAGACTCACACAGAGACCCACAGACTCCCACAGAGACCCACAGACTCCCACAGAGACCCACAGACTCACACAGAGACCCACAGACTCACACAGAGACCCACAGACTGACACAGAGACCCACAGACTTACACAGAGACTCACATTCTCCCACCGAGAGAGGCTCCCACAGAGACCCACAGACTTACACAGACTTACACAGAGACCCACAGACACCCACAGAGACCCACAGACTCACACAGATACCCATAGAGACCCACAGACACCCACAGACTTACACAGATACCCACAGACACCCACAGACCCACACAGAGACCCACAGACCCACACAGAGACCCACAGACTTACACAGAGACTCACAGACACCCACAGAGACCCACAGACTCACACAGAGACCCACAGACTCCCACCGAGAGAGGCTCCCACAGAAACCCACAGACTCACACAGACTTACACAGAGACCCACAGACTCACACAGACACCCACAGACTTACACAGAGACTCACATTCTCCCACCGAGAGAGGCTCCCACAGAGACCCACAGACACCCACAGACTTACACAGAGACCCACAGAAACCCACAGACACCCACAGACTCACACAGAGACCCACAGACTCACACAGACACCCACAGACACCCACACAGAGACCCACAGACTCACACAGAGACCACAGACTTACACAGAGACCCACAGACTCACACAGAGACCCACAGACTCACACAGAGACCCACAGACTCACACAGGGACCCATAGACTCACACAGAGACCACAGACTCACACAGGGACCCACAGACTCACACAGACACCCACAGACACCCACACAGAGACCCACAGACTCGCACAGAGACCCACAGACTCACACAGAGACCCACAGACTCGCACAGAGACCCATAGACTCACACAGAGACCCACAGACTCCCACAGAGACCCACAGACTCCCACAGAGACCCACAGACTCACACAGAGACCCACAGACTCACACAGAGACCCACAGACTGACACAGAGACCCACAGACTCACACCGAGACCCACAGACTCCCACAGAGACCCACAGACTGACACAGAGACCCACAGACTCACACAGAGACCCACAGACTGACACAGAGACCCACAGACTCACACAGAGACCCACAGACTCGCACAGAGACCCACAGACTCACACAGAGACCCACAGACTGACACAGAGACCCACAGACTCGCACAGTGACCCACAGACTCGCACAGAGACCCACAGACTCGCACAGAGACCCACAGACTCGCACAGAGACCCACAGACTCACACCGAGAGGGGTTCCCACAGAGACCCCGCCAAGGTTGACTGAGCGCGGGGTGGAGGAGGCGACTCGACCCCGCAAGGGCGACAAGGCCCGAGGCCTGTGCGGACGAGCTCGTGGGGGGCCGGGTCCCCCAGGGGTCCCCCTCGGTGGCCCCAGGGAACCCCAGCGGTCTCCGGAGCTCAAGGGGGCCCAAGGGGGCCCAAGGGGATGAACTCCGCGGAGCGAGGCGCTACCCGGCGACCACGTGGTGCCCGAGGCCTAGCGCAGGCTTCCAGGTGTCCCTCTCGCGTGGGCCCCATTTGTGGGGTTCCCCGGCCCCCTTATCCCCTCAGCCCCCCCTCAGCACCCCTCTCAGCACCCCCTCTCAGCCCCCCTAATCCCCTTCACCTGTTGAGCAGCTTGTAGGCCGCGTCCACGTTGCCGCTGTGCACCATCACCGTGCGGGAGATGAACTTCGCGTGGGCCGCCATCGCCGCTGCTGCTGCCGCTGCTCTCTGGCCGGCAGAGGGCGCCCTGCCCGGCCCGCGAGGGTCACTCCACGTTCCTGCGGCGCGAATAAACGGAGTGGTAGCTCCTGCAATCTCTCATTTACTTGATGCAGCTGTCGTGGCTGTGACGGTGATACAGCTGTCGTGACTGTGACGGTGATACAGCTGTCGTGGCTGTGACGGTGATACAGCTGTCGTGACTGTGACGGTGATGCAGCTGTCGTGGCTGTGACGGTGATACAGCTGTCGTGACTGTGACGGTGATGCAGCTTGTCGTGGCTGTGACGCTGATACGCTGTCGTGACTGTGACGGTGATGCAGCTGTCGTGGCTGTGACGGTGATACAGCTGTCGTGGCTGTGACGGTGATACAGCTGTCGTGGACTGTGACGGTGATACAGCTGTCGTGGCTGTGACGGTGATACAGCTGTCGTGGCTGTGACGGTGATACAGCTGTCGTGGCTGTGACGGTGATACAGCTGTCGTGGCTGTGACGGTGATACAGCTGTCGTGGCTGTGACGGTGATACAGCTGTCGTGGCTGTGACGGTGATACAGCTGTCGTGACTGTGACGGTGATACAGCTGTCGTGGCTGTGACGGTGATACAGCTGTCGTGGCTGTGACGGTGATGCAGCTGTCGTGGCTGTGACGGTGATACAGCTGTCGTGGCTGTGACGGTGATACAGCTGTCGTGGCTGTGACGGTGATACAGCTGTCGTGGCTGTGACGGTGATACAGCTGTCGTGGCTGTGACGGTGATACAGCTGTCGTGGCTGTGACGGTGATACAGCTGTCGTGGCTGTGACGGTGATACAGCTGTCGTGGCTGTGACGGTGATACAGCTGTCGTGGCTGTGACGGTGATACAGCTGTCGTGGCTGTGACGGTGATGCAGCTGTCGTGGCTGTGACGGTGATACAGCTGTCGTGGCTGTGACGGTGATACAGCTGTCGTGGCTGTGTGACTGTGACGTGATACAGCTGTCGTGGCTGTGACGGTGATACAGCTGTCGTGGCTGTGACGGTGATGCAGCTGTCGTGGCTTGTGGACGGTGATGCAGCTGTCGTGGCTGTGACGGTGATGCAGCTGTCGTGGCTGTGACGGTGATGCAGCTGTCGTGGCTGTGACGGTGATACAGCTGTCGTGACTGTGACGGTGATACAGCTGTCGTGGCTGTGACCGGTGGATGTCAGCTGTCGTGGCTGTGACGGTGGATACAGCTGTCGTGGCTGTGAACGGTGATGCAGCTGTCGTGGCTGTGACGGTGATGCAGCTGTCGTGGCTGTGACGGTGGATGCAGCTGTCGTGGCTGTGACGGTGATACAGCTGTCGTGGCTGTGACGGTGATGCAGCTGTCGTGGCTAGTGACGGTGATCCAGCTGTCGTGGCTGTGACGGTGATGCAGCTGTTCGTGGCTGTGACGGTGATACAGCTGTCGTGGCTGTGACGGCTGATACAGCTGTCGTGGCTGTGACGGTGATACAGCGGTCGTGGCTGTGACGGTGATGCAGCTGTCGTGCTGTGCGGTGATACAGCTGTCGTGGCTGTGACGGTGATACAGCTGTCGTGGCTGTGACGGTGATACAGCTGTCGTGGCTGGACGGTGATGCAGCTGTCGTGACTGTGACGGTGATACAGCTGTCGTGGCTGTGACGGTGATACAGCTGTCGTGGCTGTGACGGTGATACAGCTGTCGTGGCTGTGACGGTGATACAGCTGTCCGTGGCTGTGACGGTGATACAGCTGTCGTGGCTGTGACGGTGATACAGCTGTCGTGGCTGTGACGGTGATACAGCTGTCGTGGCTGTGCGGTGATACAGCTGTCGTGGCTGTGACGGTGATACAGCTGTCGTGGCTGTGACGGTGATACAGCTGTCGTGGCTGTGACGGTGATGCAGCTGTCGTGACTGTGACGGTGATACAGCTGTCGTGGCTGTGACGGTGATACAGCTGTCGTGGCTGTGACGGTGATGCAGCTGTCGTGGCTGTGACGGTGATGCAGCTGTCGTGGCTGTGACGGTGATACAGCTGTCGTGACTGTGACGGTGATACAGCTGTCGTGGCTGTGACGGTGATACAGCTGTCGTGGCTGTGACGGTGATACAGCTGTCGTGGCTGTGACGGTGATACAGCTGTCGTGGCTGTGGCGGTGATACAGCTGTCGTGGCTGTGACGGTGATACAGCTGTCGTGGCTGTGACGGTGATACAGCTGTCGTGGCTGTGACGGTGATACAGCTGTCGTGGCTGTGACGGTTCCACCTGGAAGACGGAAGCTTGTGTTGCCTCCGAAACGTCGTGATTTTTATTTTATTTTTATTTTGCTTTTATTAATTTTAATGTTTTACCTACACGGTGACTTTAGCGAAAAAACCTAAGAATATGAATCCTTGCAGTCACGAAAGCTTCAAATCTAGAATCATTGGAAGCTCATTTGCCCGTAAAACATGATAATTGTTTTTTTACCCTTTTATCTGGCAACAAAACTGGCACTTTTTTTTACAAGGAGTCATGTTTGCATATACCACAATACCTGCAGTCATAATGCAAACAAAAAACATAACTCTGATAATGTATGCACTGTCCTTAAAGTTGATTGGTCCACGCCCGAGACAGCTTTCCTTAGAGCCCAGTCTCACATGGTGTTGGACTGCGGGTATTGTGGTCTATGCGAACATGACTCCTCGTAAAAAATGTGTCAGTTTTGTTGCAAGATAAAAGGGTAAAAAAACAATTATCGATTCGCAGCTCGGCTGTGATCTGCAAATCCCTGGGGTCCTGGCCGCATACCGGATGGCACCTCACGCGGCTAATGGATTTTCGCCATTCTTACTCTTAGGTTTTTTCGGTAAAGTCACGTAGGTAAAAAATACAATTTAAAGTTAATCAAAGTAATAATGGAAATAAAATAAAATAATAAATCACGACGTTTCGGAGGCAACACAAGTCTCCGTCATCAGGTGGGACCGTCACAGCTAAAATTACTGCATTAGCTGTGACGGTCCCACCTGATGACGGAGACTTGTGTTGCCTCCGAAACGTCGTGATTTATTATTTTATTTTATTTCCATTATTACTTTTATTAACTTTTAATTTTATTTTTTACCTACGTGACTTTACCGAAAAAAAACCTGAGTATGAATCCTTGCAGTCACGAAAGCTTCAAATCTAGAATTTCGCCATTCTTCTTAATGTACGGCAGGGATGCGGTCCCCCCTGCCGATGTACGCTTGCATGTTGACCTGCCGTCGCCAAAATACAACCTCGCAGACCACCGGCGTGTCAACATGCGTCAAGTGACTTAAGCACGAGAGGCCACCATTGAAAACTCGGCCTCTCGACATAGGGCCAACTTGCGGCTACGTGACCCAAAGACATCCACGCATGCTTGGACCACGGGGCACAAGGCCTGGCTGCATTGTCCCAGGTGCCTTTGTGATCCCAAGACATCCACGCATGCTTGGACCACGGGGCACAAGGCCTGGCTGCATTGTCCCAGGTGCCTTTGTGATCCCAAGACATCCACGCATGCTTGGACCACGGGGCACAAGGCCTGGCTCCATTGTCCCAGGTGCCTTTGTGATCCCAAGACATCCACGCATGCTTGGACCACGGGGCACAAGGCATGGCTGCATTGTCCCAGGTGCCTTTGTGATCCCAAGACATCCACGCATGCTTGGACCACGGGGCACAAGGCCTGGCTCCATTGTCCCAGGTGCCTTTGTGATCCCAAGACATCCACGCATGCTTGGACCATGGGGCACAAGGCCTGGCTGCATTGTCCCAGGTGCCTTTGTGATCCCAAGACATCCACGCATGCTTGGACCATGGGGCACAAGGCCTGGCTGCATTGTCCCAGGTGCCTTTGTGATCCCAAGACATCCACGCATGCTTGGACCACGGGGCACAAGGCATGGCTCCATTGTCCCAGGTGCCTTTGTGATCCCAATACATCCACGCATGCTTGGACCACGGGGCACAAGGCCTGGCTCCATTGTCCCAGGTGCCTTTGTGATCCCAAGACATCCATGCATGCTTGGACCACGGGGCACAAGGCATGGCTCCATTGTCCCAGGTGCCTTTGTGATCCCAAGACATCCATGCATGCTTGGACCATGGGGCACAAGGCCTGGCTCCATTGTCCCAGGTGCCTTTGTGACCCCAAGACATCCACGCATGCTTGGACCATGGGGCACAAGGCATGGCTCCATTGTCCCAGGTGCCTTTGTGATCCCAAGACATCCACGCATGCTTGGACCATGGGGCACAAGGCATGGCTCCATTGTCCCAGGTGCCTTTGTGATCCCAAGACATCCACGCATGCTTGGACCACGGGGCACAAGGCCTGGCTCCATTGTCCCAGGTGCCTTTGTGATCCCAAGACATCCACGCATGCTTGGACCATGGGGCACAAGGCCTGGCTCCATTGTCCCAGGTGCCTTTGTGATCCCAAGACATCCACGCATGCTTGGACCATGGGGCACAAGGCCTGGCTCCATTGTCCCAGGTGCCTTTGTGATCCCAAGACATCCACGCATGCTTGGACCACGGGGCACAAGGCATGGCTCCATTGTCCCAAGTGCCTTTGTGATCCCAAGACATCCACGCATGCTTGGACCATGGGGCACAAGGCCTGGCTCCATTGTCCCAGGTGCCTTTGTGATCCCAAGACATCCACGCATGCTTGGACCATGGGGCACAAGGCCTGGCTCCATTGTCCCAGGTGCCTTTGTGATCCCAAGACATCCATGCATGCTTGGACCATGGGGCGCAAGGCATGGCTCCATTGTCCCCATGTGCCTTTGTCCACGTCGCCCAAACTGCTAAAACCATGGAAGGGTCCCGTCGAAAATCGTTGAGGTTGTCCACCACCAGTGCGTCAAGGTCCGGTGGGGCAGGCGATGTTGTTAGTTTGTGCATCCCTCGCAGTTGAAGCCCTTATATACGCGTGTGTGTTGCACCTCCACACACACGCGCGTGTTGAGGGTTGGCAGTGACGCGTGCGGTGTGCAGGGAGATCTGGAACCGCTTCGGTAGACCACACGGACTCGAGGCCACATATAATTAGGCGACGTTTTGGGCAATGGTCCTTCTTCAGAGCAGATCAATCATTTGGCAAATTTCCCGAACAAATTATATATTTTTAAAAAAATGTTCCCCTGTTACGGCCACACACAGCGTCACTGACACGGGACGTGTTAGGTTGGTGTTGTTGTTACTATTATTGTTGTTGGTGTTGTTGTTGGTGTTGTTGTTGGTTTTGTTGGTGTTGTTGGTGGTGTTGGTGGTGTTGTTGGTGTTATTGTTGTTGGTGTTGTTGTTGGTGTTGTTGTTGTTGGTGTTGTTGTTGTTGGTGTTGTTGTTATTGGTGTTGTTGTTGTTGGTGTTGTTGTTATTGGTGTTGTTGTTGGTGTTGTTGTTATTGGTGTTGTTGGTGTTGTTGTTGGTGTTGTTGTTAGTGTTTTTGTTGGTGTTGTTGGTGTTGTTGTTGGTATTGTTGTTGTTGGTGTTGTTGTTGGTGTTGTTGTTGATGGTGTTGTTGTTGTTGGTGTTGTTGGTGGTGTTGTTGTTGGTGTTGTTGTTGGTGTTGTTGTTGTTGGTGTTGTTGTTGTTAGTGTTGTTGTTGGTGTTGTTGTTATTGGTGTTGTTGGTGTTGTTGTTGGTGTTGTTGTTAGTGTTGTTGTTGGTGTTGTTGTTGGTATTGTTGGTGTTGTTGTTGGTGGTGTTGTTGTTGGTGTTGTTGTTGGTGGTGTTGTTGGTGTTGGTGTTGTTGGTGTTGTTGGTGGTGTTGTTGTTGGTGTTGTTGTTGTTGTTGGTGTTGTTGTCGGTGTTGGTGTTGTTGATGATGTTGTTGTGTTGTTGTTGTTGTTGTTGCTATTGGTGTTGTTGTTGGTGTTGTTGATGTTGTTGTTGGTGTTGTTGTTGGTGTTGTTGTTGTTGGTGTTGTTGTTGATGTTGTTGGTGTTGTTGGTGTTGTTGTTGGTGTTGTTGGTGTTGTTGTTGGTGGCGTTGTTGTTGGTGTTGTTGTTGTTGTTGTTGTTCGTGTTTTTGTTATTGTTGTTGGTGTTGTTGTTGTTGTTAATTGCGCTCTGCATCCCCTGCGGCCTGGGTCGCCTCGTTCCTTGCGCGGGGGTTGTGATGCGTCTCCGTTTTGCAGGGTGGTCCAGATGTCTCGTGACCCCTCCCCCACCACCCCCCCCCCCCCCCCCCATTTTATTCTCTCAAAAAAAGTCATATATTTTTCCAAAATGTTTATTTAAAACAGAAATGAATATGCAAAGGGAGAAAAAAATGGTGTGGGGGGGGGGTCAATTAATTGGGGGTGAAGGGGGTGGGGGGTCACAGTACATCTGGACCAACCTACTGACCCTGCGGGTTCCCACAGTGGGGGGGGGGGGGCTCTGCGTTCTGGCCGAGCGGCCCGTTGCTTGAAAGGAACTCGCCACCACGGACACACAGCGCTGCATCTGTGGTCGTGAATGCCCGTCACCTTGAAACGTTCTGATATGCGCCCCCCACCACCCACCACTTCCACACCACCACCACCACTAACGCTCAGCTAGGGAACTCCTCCGACCATGAGCTCTCGTCAAAAGCCACGCGCCACCTCATCCGTGCCTCTCTCCCCCCTTCCACTGTTCAAATAATTCGCTGCTAGAATGCGTAAAATGTTTAAGAACAAAGCTGCGATAAAAAAAATCTCCACGGCGATACAAGAGAGAATATAAACCCGAGAGGACGCATTCATTTGCCGAGTGATGTCACACGGTGGGGTTTGCCGCACGATGGGTTGTTGGGTCGCCCCGTGCGTGGCTGGTCTGTCTTTGCAGGTTTGCAGTTTAGAAATCTGCGGCAGCGCTCCTGAAAGGGCTCGTGCCACGGGGGCCCCGCTTCCCAAGGGCCGCTCGCTCTCTCTCTGCATGCACAGATTTACTTTTTACTGGTAGGAACCACCTGCTTCCACCGGCACACAGGGGATTATTGTGTCCGTTGTGCAGGGAGGGGCTGGGTGGGGAGGGAGGGGCTGGGTGGGGTGGGGAGGGTGGGGAGGGGCTGGGTGGGGAGGGGCTGGATGGGGAGGGTGCGGAGGGGCTTGGTGGGGAGGGTGGGGGGGCCTGGGTGGGGAGGGTGTGGAGGGGCTGGGTGGGGTGGGTGGGGAGGGTGGGGAGGGGCTGGGTGGGGAGGGTGAGGAGGGGCTTGGGTGGGGAGGGGCTGGGTGGGGTGGGTGGGGAGGGTGGGGAGGGGCTGGGTGGGGAGGGTGAGGAGGGGCTTGGGTGGGGAGGGGCTGGGTGGGGAGGGTGTGGAGGGGCTGGGTGGGGAGGGTGGGGAGGGTGGGGAGGGGCTGGGTGGGGAGGGGCTGGGTGGGGAGGGTGGGGAGGGGCTGGGTGGGGGGTGGGAGGGGTGGGGCTGGGAGGGGAGGGGAGGGGCTGCTCACCCCGTGGTGCCCTTATAAAACTCAACGTTTAACCTACTCACGCCGGCTTGTGCCCGCCCTCACAGTCGGGCATATTGCGGAATACACCACGCCGCCGTTGACCCTGGCCATTGACCGAGCAACCCAACGTTCCTACCAGCTCCCTCCGCAGGAATGTGTTTGGGCCACCCCCTTGATACGGCGAACAATCGACGAAGCTCACACAAAGAAAAATACAGGCAGTCCCCCGGGTTACGGAAGGGTTAGGTTCCCAAGTGCGATCCGTAACCCGAATTTTCCGTATGTCAGTCGACCGTTATCTTTCGCTACCTGATCGTATCGCTGTACATATGCTCTGCACTTCCTACGATTCTTGTATTCAATCGAACATCTACCCTGAACACTAACCCATAATTAAACTAACGAGAACATATACTGTATACAATTATTGATGAATATCATGAAACATTATTTTAACATTGTTAACAGAAAGCAGTTATATTCTTGGTTCTTTCGGTAAAGTCACGTAGAAGGGAAACAATAAAATAATAAAAATATAAAACAATACAATTCTCACGACGTTTCGACTGCAACACAAGTAACCGTCATCAGGTGTGAAAAAAACACAGCAAGAACATGTTTCACACCTGATGATGATTGCTTGTGTTGCAGTCGAAACGTCGTGAAAATTTTATTGTTTGATATTTTTATTATTTTATTGTTTCCCTTCTACGTGATGACTTTACCTAAAGAACCAAGAATATTAATCCCTGCAGTCACGAAAGCTTTCAATCTAAACAGAAATCAGTCACTTCCGAATGTCCGTCTACCGTGCATTAGGCAAGGCCCGAGACTTCTGTGATCGCTGTTGGCTGAGACCACGAGCAATTGAAGTGTAATTGTGTTAAATAAAGTACATACAGCAGATAACTCGTAAAATAGAACTTAACGCGAATACTAGCGGTGCTATTGCTAGTTCCAAGCATAGAAAACTGAATTACGTAATGCTACAAAAGGAAAATCATTACTGAACGCTACAAAAAATTACATTTCCCTTAATCCCTAGCCTTAGGGGGCGTCCATAAATGACGTCACGCGATTTTGAACGATTTTTGACCCCCCTCCCCCCTCGGCGTCACAAAAAGTCAGACCCCCCCCCCCCCGTCAAATATGACGTCACAAAGCTCTGCCCCCTCCCCCCCGCCCAAAACCATATTTCCATTTTGAAAATAAAACATGCTTCAAATCGCTTTAAACTATTGTCATTGTAGTGCGTATTTAATGTGGCGCTGCACTCTGATGTTGTAGGAGTGTTGTTATAACGATTAGTGTTGCTATAACAATTCTATATTTGATAATTGTTTTTTTACCCTTCTATCTGGCAACAAAACTGACACCTTTTTTACAAGGAGTCATGTTTGCATAGACCACAATACCTGCAGTCATAATCCAAACAAAAAACATAACTCTGATAATGTGCACTGTCCTTGAAGTTGATTGGTCCACACCCGAGACAGCTTTCCTTAGAGCCTAGTCTCACATGGGTTGGACCAGATGACGCCAAAAGGCGCACAACTCAAAGACAATGCACCATCAGAGTATGAGAGCTCGGGGTAAGCATTTACACCATTGGAACCTCATTTGCCAGTAAAAAATATTATTGGTTTTTTACCCTTCTATCTGGCAACAAAACTGACACCTTTTGAACAAGGAGTCATGTTTGCATAGACCACAATACCTGCAGTCATAATGCAAACAAAAAACATAACTCTGATAATGTGCACTGTCCTTGAAGTTGATTGGTCCACACCCGAGACAGCTTTCCTTAGAGCCTAGTCTCACATGGTGTTGGACCAGATGACGCCAAAAGGCGCACAACTAGAAGACAATGCACCATCAGAGTATGAAAGCTCGGGTTTAAGCATTTACACCATTGGAATCTCATTTGCCAGTAAAAAATATGATAATTGGTTTTTTACCCTTCTATCTGGCAACAAAACTGACACCTTTTTTTACAAGGAGTCATGTTTGCATAGACCACAATACCTGCAGTCATAATGCAAACAAAAAACATAACTCTGATAATGTATGCACTGTCCTTGAAGTTGATTGGTCCACACCCGAGACAGCTTTCCTTAGAGCCTAGTCTCACATGGGTTGGACCAGATGACGCCAAAAGGCGCACTACCAGATAGAAGGGTAAAAAACCGATTATCATATATTTTTTACTGGCAAATGAGGTTCCAATGGTGTAAATTCTATATTTATTTAAAGTTGCGCATTTTGATGTGACGTCACATTTCTCAACCCCCCCCCCCCTCGTCACACATCGTCACAAAAGTCTGAACCCCCCCCCCGCCCTAGGTGCGTGACGTCATTTATGGACGGCCCCTTACGCCTCGCCCCTCGGCATTCATCGACAACCTCACCACGCTGCACTATTTGCGCTTGCGTAGCTAACGCGAGGAATTTCCGCATGTTGAATTTTTCTTTTTAAATCCTTTATATTAAGTTCACTTGCTTGCTTGCTTGCGCGCTTACGACCGTGCAAATCTTTCGGTCGTTTTTTAACCCACTTCCCGTGATCCAATCGAGCTGCCATTTTGCACACAGACTCGTTGTGCGTGACAATTTATTTTCGTGAAAAAATGTTTCCATAACTTTACACTTTTTAGGAACATTTTTTTTTTATATTTAATTACCAATTGCTTAATGGTGGCAGGCAATCATCTGACCCATAGGTGGCAGCCATCTCAAGCCAGAGGACGAGAGGACTCTAGCCGCCACGCATATAAAGGATTTATAGTGAAATACTTTGTTTTTACGGGTTAATTTTTTTACATTGTTCATGAGAGCAATTCCGTGAAGTCGGATTGCCGTAAGTCTTCCTGTTTCCCCCGTGTAGCCTTAACCGACTGTGGGGGCAAGTGCTGTTAGCGAGACCCTAAGAAGGCCAGTACGGCACACGAGGGGGTGGGTGACCAGCACAATCCTCGGCCACCTTTGTCTCCCTAGTAACGATGTTTACACATCGAACCAGGTACCCATTTGAGGCTGAGTCAACCTAGGCGAGGTCCAGGACCGATTTAAATCATCGTCACTGGTGTTGGCCGTGCGCGGGAATCGATCTCGGGTCGCCGGATTCGAAGCGCTACACTACCGCTATCCACACACACGACACACACTACCTACCGCTACCCACACACACACACACGACACACACTACCTACTGCTACACACACACACACACGACATACACTACCTACCGCTACCCACACACACACACGACACCCACTACCTACCGCTACACACACACACGACACACACTACCTACCGCTACCCACACACGACACACACTACGGCTAATACAAAATCTCGTGAACAAATGACCAGGAATGGAACCTGATTAGTGCTTTGGTGAATGGGTTGCTATGGGTTGCTGTTGTTGCTATGGCTGCAGGGCTACGTGCAGTCGCCACAACGGAGGGCCGTACAGCAGAACCAGTTGTTGTGCTGTACGTTCTCACATTCTACGCTCCCCGCCTTCAACACCAACCTGCCGCTCCCTCGCGGGACGGCAGACGGTCAAATAACAGCTTGGGGTGGGGCCCTCATCCAGCAGTTGATCGACTCAACGCCTGTACACGCGCTACTATAAAATTCACTATGGAATACAAACATCACCATCATCAACAACATCATCATCGTCGTAGTCGCCGTCGGCCGATCTCCAGTGGCCTCCACTCCCGTCTCCCTACATCTCCCCGGCCGTCACGTGCAGCGGAGGCTGCCCACGGCCTCCCAGGAGGGACTCCGACTTGGGCCCCAGTCTGGGCCCCAGTCTGGGCCCCGCGTAGGGACGTCGGCGCTCCCCGTGTCCCCCGGCGGCGCCCGGCGCCGTCCGGTTCCTGGGCCCCGTCCCTCCGGGGGCCCCGTGCCTCCTGCCCGTCTCCTCCTCCTCCTCCTCTTGTCTCTCCTTGCGCTGGATCTGGTCGAGTCTCCTCCTGGGGTCAGAGGCCACTGGGGCAGGGCCCTCCTCGGATGCCGCGACTCCGACCGCGGCCTCGGGCTGGGCCGGGTGGCCGGGAGCGGCCGGGGCGACGGGCGGGATGGGAGGCCCTGGGGAGGCCCCATAGGGGTCGTCCGTGGGGGCGACGACTCTGGCCGCGTCGGTGTCCATCAGTGACCTGGACAGCACTGAGAGGCGGGAGGAGATGGTAGGAGGAGGAGTGAGGAGGAGGAGGAGGCGGGAGGGGGAGGGAGGAGGGGGGAGGGAGGAGGAGGGGAGGAATAGGGGGGGGGGGAGGTAGGAGTAGGAGGAGGAAGAGGAGCATGGGATGACTCTGGGTTCTCTGTTTTTTTGTTGCCATGGGACGAAATCCCAGAAGAAGCCCATGCAAAACAAGGAGGGAACATACAAACTGCGCCTTTTGGCGTCATCTGGTCCAACCCATGTGAGACTAGGCTCTAAGGAAAGCTGTCTCGGGTGTGGACCAATCAACTTCAAGGACAGTGCATACATGATCAGAGTTGTGTTTTTTGTTTGCATTATGACCGCAGGTATTGTGGTCTATGCAAACATGACTCCTCGTAAAAAAAGGTGTCAGTTTTGTTGCCAGATAAAAGGGTAAAAAACCAATTACCAACATACAAACTGCGCACACTCGCTCACTCTGTAGAGCACGCGAACGCCACACAGATGGGCGCCGCAGTCGGAGTTTCGAACCCCCCAGCCTCTTCCTGCCGCAAGGCGCGAGTGCGACCACCGGCGCCGCCCAAACCTCGCGTGGCCGCCTTTACCTCCTTGCGGGCGGTAGGTGGCGGGCGCCGAGGTGGCAGGAGAGGAGGGGCCGCAGCTGGGGTAGAGGATGAGGGCGAACGACAGCAGGAACACCTGCACGGGCGGCACAACGTGGGCGGCAGCGCAACGTGGGGTCATCGTGGGGGGTCGTGGCAGGGGTCGTGGCGGGGGTCGTGGCAGGGGTCGTGGCAGGGGTCGTGGCAGGGGTCATGGCTGGGGTCGTGGCAGGGGTCGTGGCGGGGGTCGTGGCAGGGGTCGTGGCAGGGAGTCGTGGCTGGGGTCGTGGCTGGGGTCGTGGCAGGGGTCATGGCTGGGGTCGTGGCAGGGGTCGTGGTAGGGGTCATGGCGGGGGTCGTGGCTGGGGTCATGGCAGGGGTCGTAGCAAGGGTCGTGGCAGGGGTCGTGTCAGGGGTCGTGGCTGGGGTCATGGCAGGAGTCGTAGCAGGGGTCGTGGCAGGGGTCGTGGCAGGGGTCGTGGCAGGGGTCGTGGCAGGGGTCATGGCAGGTGCATCTGCGGTGCTGTGGCAGGTGGGTGCGGTACTAGCAAATTGTGTGGATGACTACGGCAAGTGTGTGTGTGTGTGAAGCGTAACGGTGAGTGTGTGTGTCCTAGTCAACGTGGCGTGGTGAAAAACAACCCCCGACCTCCTCGTGGTGCCGGACGGCAACGCTGTGGTGGGCAGTGCCGTGGGGGGAGGATCCAATTTAGATTGACCTCTCCCCTCGTAGCGTTCATAACCACCACAGCGGCCAAATCGGGGCTCTGGACGGGTGCGAGGGGCTGGTAACCCCTCCCCTTTCAATTAATTACCACAAAACCACGTATAAAATATCTAATTAATAAGCTTGTGCCGGAGGCCCCGGGGGCACAGGCGTCTATGACGTCTCCTGGCCAAACCCCATTTGGCAGAGCCAGGAGATTGAATCTTTACCCTCGGGGCTCCTCCAGAAACAAAAAACCACTAAGGGTGGCCACGTGAAATGTTCGAACGCTCACTGCGGAGGAGAGGCTGCCACTCCTCTGTCGGGAGCTGGACCGGTACCGCCTGGATCTCTGTGGTATTCAGGAGGTCCGGTGGACCGGCTCTGGCTCCTGCCACCATAAGGGGTGGACAGTCCTCTACTCGGGGCAGGAGACTACCAAAAAACAGGGAGTGGCTCTTCTTCTGAACAAAATAATGAAGGGGGTGTGGGAGCGTGGCGGTGAGGTGTGGGAAGCGGTAATCCCCAGACTACTTTGGGCTCGCCTTCCCATCAACCAGAGGCGAGGAGTGGTGGTCGTGGTTACTTATGCCCCCACCGAAGACGAACATCCGTGGAGGGATGCAGGCAAGGCCGATGAGTCAGATGGCTTCTATGACCTCCTGTCACAGGTGCTAGCTAAAGTGGCCCCTCGGGATAGTGTCATCCTGTTTGGCAACTTCAATGCCCGAGTTGGTCATGATGCTGGCACCTGGTCTGGAGTGATTGAAAAGCATGGGCCAGATCAGCGCAATAACAGCAGCAGTTGCCCTCCAACAACAACGGAGGGCGGAGGAGCGACGCTCACAACAACGAGCAGAGCGCCGGGTGGCTAAAGCACAGCAAGTTGGCACAGTAGGGGGCACAGGTGGCGCATCAGCCAGTCATCTCAGTCAGTCGACCCGTGGCACCTGGGTCTGCCCCGTGACCTCCTGCCAGAGACACTTCACGTGGCCTCAAAGTGCACATGGCCTGGCACAAGCGTCGTGGTGACGTCACCGCCACTTAGTGGCGAATGGCGGTTGTTGTTGTGGCATGGTGAGTGTGTGGCATGGCGTGTGTATATAAGGAGCGAAACAGGTGGACTTCTCCACAAATCTAGCTGTCGCCTGATGAAGCTGGTTGTAATTACTGGCGAAACGTCGTACTCAGATTGTAAATGTTGTGGCTTGGCTCTCCAACACACAACCGGTTAGTGCTGTACTAGTATACTACACTATACACTACACTATACAATACATACGAGTGCTGTACTAGTATACTACACTATACACTACACTACACACTAGTGCTGTACTAGTAACGAATTGGCACGTTCTGGTTACGTGACAAACCTTACTAATTAGCTGTGTCGGGTGGTGACGGGTTTAACTACACATTTATATATTTACGTGATCTAACCCAAAAACCTCTATTATGGAAGTGTAGCGGTTCATGCGCTGCGCTAAGAACCCAGCGACCCGAGTCCGATTCCCGCTCACGACCAACATCGTTGACGATTATCTGAGCCGGTTGTGAGCCTCTCCTAGGTCGACTCAGCCTCAAATCAGTACCTGGTGCAGTGTGTAAACATCGCTATAGGTGCTACTCGCTGACAGCACTTGCACCAACAGTCTGTCAAGGCTACGCGGGGGATCTTTGTCTTTGTGTGTGAACCCACCATGACGCAGGTGCCAGTCTGCGCTGCCTTGGCCGAGCCTTGCTTCATTAGGGACTGCAGATGCCTCAGCTGCGTCAGCAGGGACCTGGGAAAGACGCACACCACATGTGCTCGTGCGTGCGTACGTGCGTGTACACGTACGTGCGTGTACACGTGCGTGCACATACACGTGTGTGCGTGCGCGAGTGCACACGTGTGTGCGTGTACACGTGCAGTCACATGTGTTTAACACGTGGGGTTTAGCGAGCGATGTCGCGATGCGCCCGCTATGTATTTCTTTGGGTGGGATCGCGCTCGTGGAATGCAGTGCGTGTTGTACGCCCTCCTCCACCCGACGCGGCACACCCTTTGGCATCGTACACACAAACACTCAAGCACGAATCGCCAGAGGTCGCAACCGGGTACCCGATACCCGTACCCTACCCGATACCCGGCTACCCGTACCCAGTCGGGTACGGGTACGGGTACGGGTAGACGTTTGCGACCCTGGTGCGGCCGGGTACGGGTACGGGTAGGCCTTGAGCCACTGGTGAGTCACCGTTTGTCACTCATTTCCCAACGTCTTGTCTCTTCTCACAATTCAAGTTCCTAGAATGAACCCACCCGCGCCTGCAACATGGCTTCATCCCAGAGGTCGCAATCAGGTACCCGATACCCGTACCCTACCCGATACCCGGCCGGTACGGGTAGCCGGGTATCGGGTAGGGTACGGGTACGGGTACCCGATTGCGACCCTGGTGCGGCCGGGTACGGGTACGGGTAAGGAATCAAAACCCGTTTGCGACCTCTGCGAATCGCTCTCCGTGACGTACGCTTTTCCTCTGACGAATTCTGAGCGCGACCCTGGTGTGGAGGGGTTTGGCTTCACTCTGGCCACATCGGCTGCCCTGCTGCTGATGCTGCTGCTGCTGCTGGTGCTACTGCTGCTGGTGCTGCTGCTGCTGCTGGTGCTGCTGCTGCTGCTGCTGGTGCTGCTGCTGCTGCTGGTGCTGCTGGTGCTACTCACAGATTCTGCTTCTCCAGCTGCTGCATCTTCCGCTGGAGCTCATGGTTGTGAACGGTGCATGTAGACACCCTGCACAAGTGCACACACACACGTACAGCACACACACACACGTACGGCTTACACATACACACGTACAGTATATACACACACACCACACGTACAGCACACACACACACACCACACACACGTACAGCATACACACACACACACACACGTACGTCTTACACACAGGTAGAATACGCATGTACACACGTACGGCATACACACACACGTACAGCATACACACACGTACAGCATACACACACACACCATACACACACACACCATACACACACACACCATACACACACGTACAGCATACACACACGTACAGCATACACACACATACAGCATACACACACAGGTACAGCATACACACAGGTAGAATACGCATGTACACACGTACAGCATACACACACACATACAGCATGCACACACCATACACACACGTACAGCATACACACACGTACGTCTTACACACAGGTAGAATACGCACGTACACACGTACAGCATACACACACACACATACAGCATACACGCACACCACACACACACGTATAAAGATGCCCACACACGTACACACACGTACACACACACGTGCGCGCGCACGTCAGCCTCCCCCCTTCACGGACACGCCCCTCTCGTGGTCATGACCCGGTACCCCGTGGTCTCTTTCCCAAGGGCATGTCCCCCTCACCGTCCAGCCTGGGGGCTCCGTCACAAACCCCACGGCCTGTCACCGCGGGGGCATGGCCCTCTCTCTCTCTCTCGCTCGATGGCATGGCCTCTCTTCCAATGGGCACGCTGCCCATGCCCCCCCCCCATGCCCCCCACCCTGCTGCCCCCCGCTGCCCCCCACCCCCGTCACCTGCTCTCGAGGCCATCCACGTACTCCTTCTTGCGCCGCCGGCTCTCCTGTGCCGACTGCTTGTTCCGGATCTTGCGCCGCACGCGCTTCAGCACCCGCTCCTCCACCTGCGGGACGCGGTGAGAGGGGCGGGGGGGGGGGCAGCCACAGCCATAGCGAGAGGGACGCGTGATGTGGTGTGCCGGGCGGTTAGAACCAAGGCCGCACTCGCCACAAAACGAACGGCAAAACCTCGCTGATTCCGTCACGGAGAATGAACCATCGCGCGTGCCACTCTGCTCACCGCCCGAGGTCGCAATCGGGTACCCGATACCCGTACCCTACCCGGTACCCGGCTACCCGTACCCGGCCGGGTATGGGTACGGGTAGCCGTTTGCGACCCTGGTGCGGCCGGGTACGGGTACGGGTAGGCCGTGAGTCACTGGTGAGTAACCAATCTTAATTTGGAGCTTTCGTGACTGCAGGAATTACTCTTTGGTTCTTTCGGTAAAGTCACGTATAAAGATAAAATAATAAAAAAATAATAATAAACGTCCTAGTATGCTATTATTTAATTTATTATTTTATCTTTATACGTGACTTTACCGAAAGAACCAAAGAGTGGTGAGTAACCGTTTGTCACTCATTTCGGGTAGGGTACGGGTAGGGAACGGGTACCCGTACCCAGCTGGATACGGGTACCCGTTCCCTACCCGTACGCTACCCGATACCCGGCTACCCGTGCGGCCGGGTACGGGTACAGGTAAGGAATCAAATCCCGTTTGCGACCTCTGCTCACCGCTCTCACGGAAGCGGCGGCTTCGGGCTGAACAAAGGCGGTGGTCGCCGCATCGCGCGGCGCTTTCAGATGCGCTTCTGCGGCCGTCTGGAACGATCTTCCCTGGAGCTGTACACTTTTAAACCATCGTCTCGATTGACGAACTCATTTCTTTAGAACCGTTGTTTGTGTTGAGTTTGTCGTCTTTACCCCCGCATCTCCGATTAGCGCGGTGCGAATGAAGTTCAACGCACAAGCAGTAGTAGCACAAGTAGCTACACATGTAGTAGCTACGGGCTCCGCATCTTCAAGGGCCCCGCGCTAAATGCTTGCAAGCTATCAATTCCGGTTTAGTGAGTCTGCACTTGCTCTATTGCTATAGTACTATACCGCCTTCAACTTTTACGAACGACTGGGTGTTTAAGGTTAGCGATTTGTCGTATAATCTGGCCGTTTAGCAAGTGAAAAAATGCAATTGCTTTACTATGCAATTTACAAATTTGTGTTGTAATATTTACGTGTTTTTTTAATTCAGGGCCCCTCTATAACATCACATGCTACAGGGCCCGCACTGGCTTCATCCCGGCGCTGTGCACAAATGCGTCCTGTCTCTTGCGGAGCGGCGATCAGCGTGCCGCGCTACGAACCCGGCAAAGACCCGAGTTCCATGTCCGCTCACAACCAGTAACGGTGACAGCCAACGTCTGAACCGGTCTTGGGACCTCCCCTAGCTCGACTCAGCCTAAAAACGAGTTCCTGTTGCGGTGTCTAAAACATCCTGGCATGTTGCTGGCCACCCCACCCTGTCGTGTAAGAAGAGCACTTGCCCCGACAGCCTTGCTATAGGCGACACGGGGGATCTGTGTCTTTGTGTGTCAGCTCACAGTGTCCTGGTGGATGATGGGAACCGAGAGCGAAACTCGGGGTGGGAGGGGCGCAAGGGTCGAGGGGATCGAGGGGGTCGAGGGGGTCGAGGGGGTCGAGGGGGTCGAGGGGGTCGAGGGGGTCGTGCTCACCTTGGTGAGGGGCAGGTGCGCGGGCATCGGCATCCCCTCCTGCATCAGCAGCTTGCGCTCCTCGTCCGTGAGCGCCACCTCCATGGTCTGCTGCACGCGCACACACGCACACACACACACACACGTGTGTAACAAAGACAAAGGTACCCCGTGTAGCCCTAGCAGGCCGTTGGGGGGGCAGGCGCTGTTAGCCAGTAGCACCGACGAAGGCCGACACGTCGCACCTATGAGTGGGTGGTGTGGCCGTCTTTGTCTCCCTAATGCCGATGTTTACTACACACCGCACCAGGTACTCCTTTGAGGCCGAGTTGACCTAGGAGAGGCCCAGGACCGGTTCGGATAATCCTCACCGGTTTTGGTGGCCGTGAGCGGGAATCATCAAAGTCAGGCCGCCGCTTCAGTGAGGGTAAAAAGTATTTGATCCCCTGCTGATTTTGTACGTTTGCCCACTGACAAAGAAATTAATCGTCTATAATTTGAATGGTAGGTTCATTTGAACAGTGAGAGACAGAATAACAACAACAAAATCCAGAAAAACGCATGTCAAAAATGTTATAAATTTATTTGCATTTTAATGAGGGAAATAAGTATTTGACCCCTCTGCAAAACATGACTTAGTACTTGGTGGCAAAACCCTTGTTGGCAATCACAGAGGTCAGACGTTTCTTGTAGTTGGCCACCAGGTTTGCACACATCTCAGGAGGGATTTTGTCCCACTCCTCTTTGCAGATCTTCTCCAAGTCATTAAGGTTTCGAGGCTGACGTTTGGCAACTCGAACCTTCAGCTCCCTCCACAGATTTTCTATGGGATTAAGGTCTGGAGACTGGCTAGGCCACTCCAGGACCTTAATGTGCTTCTTCTTGAGCCACTCCTTTGTTGCCTTGGCCGTGTGTTTTGGGTCATTGTCATGCTGGAATACCCATCCACGACCCATTTTCAATGCCCTAGCTGAGGGAAGGGAGTTCTCACCCAAGATTTGACGGTACATGGCCCCGTCCATCGTCCCTTTGATGCGGTGAAGTTGTCCTGTCCCCTTAGCAGAAAAACACCCCCAAAGCATAATGTTTCCACCTCCATGTTTGACGGTGGGGATGGTGTTATTGGGGTCATAGGCAGCATTCCTCCTCCTCCAAACACGGCGAGTCGAGTGATGCCAAAGAGCTCCATTTTGGTCTCATCTGACCACAACACTTTCACCCAGTTGTCCTCTGAATCATTCAGATGTTCATTGGCAAACTTCAGACGGGCATGTATATGTGCTTTCTTGAGCAGAGGGACCTTGCGGGCGCTGCAGGATTTCAGTCCTTCACGGCGTAGTGTGTTACCAACTGTTTTCTTGGTGACTATGGTCCCAGCTGCCTTGAGATCATTGATAAGATCCTTCCGTGTAGTTCTGGGCTGATTCCTCACCGTTCTCATGATCATTGCAACTCCACGAGGTGAGATCTTGCATGGAGCCCCAGGCCAAGGGAGATTGACAGTTCTTTTGTGTTTCTTCCATTTGCAAATAATCGCACCAACTGTTGTCACCTTCTCACCAAGCTGCTTGGCGATGGTCTTGTAGCCCATTCCAGCCTTGTGTAGGTCTACAATCTTGTCCCTGACATCCTTGGAGAGCTCTTTGGTCTTGGCCATGGTGGAGAGTTTGGAATCTGATTGATTGATTGCTTCTGTGAACAGGTGTCTTTTATACAGGTAACAAGCTGAGATTAGGAGCACTCCCTTTAAGAGTGTGCTCCTAATCTCAGCTCGTTACCTGTATAAAAGACACCTGGAAGCCAGAAATATTTCTGATTGAGAGGGGGTCAAATACTTATTTCCCTCATTAAAATGCAAATCAATTTATAACATTTTTGACATGCGTTTTTCTGGATTTTGTTGTTGTTATTCTGTCTCTCACTGTTCAAATAAACCTACCATTAAATTTATAGACTGATCATTTATTTGTCAGTGGGCAAACGTAGAAAATCAGCAGGGGATCAAATACTTTTTTCCCTCACTGTAACCGCGACACTACTCACTCTCACACCGCACACACACACTCACTCCAATCCCCCTGCACCCCCCCCCCCCCCCCCCCCCCCCACTGGCGTACCACATCGTGCTCGGTGTTGTGGCCGGCGCCCGTGAGTCCGTGCAGCAGCTGGCGCGAGGAGGAGCGCAGGGCGGCGGTGAGGGCCGGGAGGGCACGTACCACGCTGGGGGCCGCCACCAAGTCCGGCTCGTCCCAGCCCTCTGGGGTGAGGGATAGGTGAGGGTGAGGGATAGGGGTAGGTGAGGGTGAGGGGTAGGTGAGGGATAGGTGAGGGGCAGGTGAGAGTGAGGGGTGGGTGAGAGTGAGGGGTGGGTGAGGGTGAGGGTTAGGGGTAGGTGAGGGTGAGGGGTGGGTGAGGGTGAGGGTTAGGGGTAGGTGAGGGTGAGGGGTGGGTGAGGGGTGGGTGAGGGGTAGGTGAGGGTGAGGGGTAGGTGAGGGATAGGTGAGGGTGAGGGGCAGGTGAGAGTGAGGGGTGGGTGAGAGTGAGGGGTGGGTGAGGGTTAGGGGTAGGTGAGGGTGAGGGGTGGGTGAGGGTGAGGGTTAGGGGTAGGTGAGGGTGAGGGGTGGGTGAGGGGTGGGTGAGGGGTAGGTGAGGGTGAGGGGTAGGTGAGGGGTGGGTGAGGGGTGGGCGAGGGTGAGGTGAGGGGCGGGCGAGAGCGCGGCGGTGACGTTGGGGGGTGACGCTGCTGCTGCTGCCGCCGTGCGATCCCAATTGAGCGATTTGCAAATTAATTTCTCAGCACCGCGGATGTCGTGGCCAACAGCAACCCCAGCGCGTGTTGCAGGTCGAGCTGCGGAATGCAAGCGGAGAGCCCTGGGAGGACTACCCAGGCAGAACCACGGGGGGTGAGAGAACCACGGGGGAGAGAGAACCACAGGGGGAGAGAGAACCACGGGGGGTGAGAGAACCACGGGGGAGAGAGAACCACGGGGGGAGAGAGGACCACGGGGGGAGAGAGAACCACGCGGGGAGAGAGAACCACGCGGGGAGAGAGAACCACGGGGGGAGAGAGAACCACGGGGGGAGAGAGAACCACGGGGGGAGAGAGAACCACGGGGGGAGAGAGAACCACGCGGGGAGAGAGAACCACGCGGGGAGAGAGAACCACGGGGGAGAGAGAACCACGGGGGGAGAGAGAACCACGGGGGAGAGAGAACCACGGGGGGAGAGAGAACCACGGGGGGAGAGAGAACTACGGGGGGAGAGAGAACCACGGGGGGAGAGAACCACGGGGGGAGAGAGAACCACGGGGGGAGAGAGAACCACGGGGGGAGAGAACCACGGGGGGAGAGAGAACCACGGGGGGAGAGAGAACCACGGGGGGAGAGAGAACCACGGGGGAGAGAGAACCACGGGGGGAGAGAGAACCACGCGGGGAGAGAGAACCACCGGGGGAGAGGGAACACGGGACTCGAACCCATCCTCGATGAGTCATCGCCGCGCCCCCACTGCCCTCGGGACTCCGGTAAAAGATCTCGAGCGTCGCCCTCACCGAAATCGATGGCCACGTCGTCCGAGCTCGAGAACGAGCGACTCCCGCCGCCGGAGCCGCCGGAGCCTCGTCCGGAGCCGCCGGGGGTCTCCGGGGGAAAGGAGGCCCAGGGCCTCGCGGCGCACGGCCCAACGTGGCCCCCCTCCGAGACGCCGCTGTCGCTGGCCGAGGGCGAGGCAAACGAAACGGGCGACGGCGGCGACGAGAAGGAGGCGGGCGAGGGGAAGGAGGTGCAGGAGGAGGAGGAGGAGAGCGAGGAGGGCGAGTGGAACGGGGTGCCGGGCGCGCGCAGCATCTGCAGCGCGGCGTCGTCCATCACGAAGCTCTGCAGGAGGTCGTCCTGAGCGTCCTCCGTCAGGGCCTGCGCAGCGGCAGCGGCGGGCGACACGGTGCGGGAGCGGCGGGTGAACCGCGGCGGTGGGCGCAAGCGGGCGCAAGTGGGCGCAAGCTGCAGGGCCTCCGTTTGATCGCAGGCCGCGCGCCGACCACTCATCTGTAGGTCCTGTCTCCAGGCCTCTCGCTATATCTCCAGTCTGTATCTACCCGCGTCTCGGACAGCCGTTGCATCTGTCGGCGGGCCACGGCACGGCAGGCCTCTCCCAAGGACCCTCTGCACAGACCGCATCTGCCCCGCAGAGGCCTACGGCTGAAGAACCTCCGGTCGCGCAGCATCGCAGAGGCGCGAGCGGTGGAGGCAACACTCATGGTCTACGTCCCACGATGGGCTGTGTCCCACGCGTGTCCCACACGTGGCCACACCTTTATGGGTAAAGTTAACCAAATATCCAGGAGGCTCAACCAGAACAGATGGTGAGCTGGCAGCCCCTCCCTCCAACTATGTCGGCCCTGGCCACGTCATTGACATGGCCCCGCCCAGTCAATTCACTAGCCCGGCCCACTCCCCCCTGCCACACACACACAGGCCTGGCCTCCTCCACCTTTCTCTTGAAGTTGGCTCCACTACTCACAAGCCCCGCCCACTACTCACAAGCCCCGCCCACTACTCACAAGTCCCGCCCACTACTCACAAGCCCCGCCCACTACTCACAAGCCCCACCCACTGCCCACAAGTCCCGCCCCCTCCTTCATGTTAAACCCCGCCCACTGCTCAGGTAGCGCCGACCTCTCTGCCTGCATCATGAGTTGAGCGCAAAGCCAAAACTTTTCAAACTGGCGGCAAAGTCTCGATTTTCAAAAAAAGCTTTTGGCAAAGTCGGTGGTTGGCGGGCGCGGGCGGTTGGTGGGGAGGGGGTTGGTGGGGGGGGTGAGTGGAGAGGGGGTTGGTGGGGGGGGGGGGGTCGGTGGGGGGGGAGATGGCAATTATGAACCCGCCAGGACCGCCCCCCCGTGGTGGAGCCGCGTGGTGGAGGGACCCTACCAGGACATCGTCCAGGCCCCACGGCTCGGCCTCGCTCGCCTTGCCCTGCTGCGCCAGCAGGCCGCCCAGCCCGCCGGGGAAGAAGGCCGACGACCTCGGGGCGCACGGGCCCCCCATCTGTGCAGCTATCGGGCCCCCCAGCGGGCCCCCCATTGGCCCCGCCGCTGGGCACGGTCGCTCCAGCAGAAGGTCCAGAAGCTCGTCCCCGACTTCGAACTCCGACTCGGACATCTACAGAGGGCGCGGAACCATGACATCGGCGTCAGCGGCGTCAGCGGCGTCGCCTCCATCGGCACCATCGGCACCATCGGCACCATCGGCGGCGCAGTTTCGTGTCCACGAATATCCCGAGCGGCGACGTCGTTATCCACATCGGGACCATCACAATCACGTCCGTCATCAGCGCCATGATCTCAATCAACATCGTCATCAGTCACCATCCCAACGCCCGCTGCCAGTCGTCATCATCATCAGCAGCAGCACCGTTGTGTAGCTCACCGCCACCGCTCTCGCCCATTCTCAGTCCGCTGCTGGATTAAAGTCTCCATGCGCCACCTTCCCTGCCGCCCCCCCCCACCCCAACTCCACAGCTGCATCTTCTCTTGAGCTGTCTCGTGTGAGTGTGTTCCTCAACCCAACCCTAACCCTGAACCCAACTCTAACGCCACGGTGGTGAGATGTCAACTACCTCGCCTGGTGTGCAGGAGGTCGTGGGTTCAACCCCGACCCTGATGCCTGCTGCTGCTGTGTATTTGGAGTCTGCGTTTCTCTCTCATCATCATCATCACGGTGGCCAGGAGATGTTAACTACCTCGCCTGGTGTGCAGGAGGTCGTGGGTTCAACCCCGACCCTGCCGCCTTGCTGTACATTTGGAGTCTGCGTGTCTCTTCCCGTGGCCGTTTGGATTTTTATCTGGGTCCTCTGGTTTCCCCCCACCGCATTTAGAGTGAGCATCACGCGTTTCAGAGCGTTTGGCTGCCGTACATTTCCACGCGATAAGCCACTACGTTTGGACTGCCATCTGTGGCCGTGTCCCTAACACAACTCACTACCTCACCCTGGGACCGATCGTCTGTGGGGGGAGGGGGGGGGGGTATCTTACGATGGGAAAGGAGGGGTCCCAATCTCAGCGGGGACCCCGAGATAAGGGGAACCGTGCACGATAAAGGGGGACTCGGGAGGGGACACGGGTCCGCGTTTACACCCCCAATAAAACCCACAGCGCTCGCTCGCTAGCTCTGAGTCAACAGCACGGAGTCGGGTCCCCGCGACCCTCCAGGGTGTGTGTGTGTAAGGGGGGGGGGGGGGGCAGGGCAAGGGACATGTACAAAATCGTTTATTAATTCGTCGAGTTGTCCAAACATCGCAATATAGGACCGCAGAGCTTGGGAAATTGTTTGTGGCAGGTGTCGTGGTTACCAAAAACTCGTCTGTGGCTTTCCCTATTTGTTATTTATTTATGACACGGGGCAAGGTGGGGGCAATACGGGGCAAGGTGGGGGGCAGTACGGGACAAGGTGGGGGGCAGTACGGGGCAAGGTGGGGGCAGTACGGGGCAAGGTGGGGGCAGTACGGGACAAGGTGGGGGGCAGTACGGGGCAAGGCGGGGGCAGTACGGGGCAAGGCGGGGGCAGTACGGGGCAAGGTGGGGGCAGTACGGGGCAAGGGGGGGGCAGTACGGGGCAAGGGGGGGGCAGTACGGGGCAAGGTGGGGGCAGTACGGGGCAAGGCGAGGGCAGTACGGGGCAAGGTGGGGGCAGTACGGGGCAAGGCGGGGGCAGTACGGGGCAAGGTGGGGGCAGTACGGGGCAAGGCGGGGGCAGTACGGGGCAAGGGGGGGGCAGTACGGGGCAAGGCGAGGGCAGTACGGGGCAAGGTGGGGGCAGTACGGGGCAAGGCGAGGGCAGTACGGGGCAAGGGGGGGGCAGTACGGGGCAAGGCGGGGGCAGTACGGGACAAGGTGGGGGCAGTACGGGGCAAGGGGGGGGGCAGTACGGGGCAAGGGGGGGGCAGTACGGGGCAAGGCGGGGGCAGTACGGGACAAGGTGGGGGCAGTACGGGGCAAGGCGGGGGCAGTACGGGGCAAGGTGGGGGCAGTACGGGGCAAGGGGGGGGCAGTACGGGGCAAGGGGGGGGCAGTACGGGGCAAGGTGGGGGCAGTACGGGGCAAGGCGAGGGCAGTACGGGGCAAGGTGGGGGCTGTACGGGGCAAGGTGGGGGGCAGTACGGGGCAAGGCGGGGGGCCTTTTGTGGTCCTTGCCGCTTGGTTGTTTCGCGTGTGGGTGGATGATGATGATGATGTGACGTGTGGCGTGTGTGTTGTGCTGTTTGTCTGTTGTGTTTGTGTGTTTGCGTGTTGTTGTTGTTTTTTTTGTGTGTGTGTGTGTGGGGGGGGGGGGGGTTACTGGTGCAGTGTGTAAAAGACATCGCCACTGGGGAGACAAAGGCGGTCGAGCGCAGTGCTGGCCACCCCCCCCCCCCCCCCTCGTGTGCCGTGCCGACCTTTCAACTCGCTAACAGCACTCGGCCCCAACATTCTGTCGAACCCATACGGGGTGGGGGGGGGGGCCTTCATGTTTAGTGCCCTTCTGCGTCTGTGCCGTGTGTGTTGTTGCGTTGTTGTTGTTGTCTTTGCTGTGGTGCTGGTCACTGCCTTTCGGTTCCTCCGCTCCTCGCGTTATTGTCGGTCTGGTTCGGAGTCGGAGTCGTAATGATGACAACAACAATAACGACGACCTCTGTCTGTGCCCGGCCACAGTCTCGCCGGGGGGAGGTTTACGATGTCCCCTGCTGTGTAAACTCCCCCGTGTGCGTGTGTGTGTGTGAGCGTGTGAGTGTGTGTGAGCGTGTGTGTGTGTGAGCGTGTGTGTGTGAGCGTGTGAGTGCTGTGTGTGTGTGTGAGCGTGTGAGTGCTGAGCGTGTGAGTGCTGTGTGTGTGTGTAAGTGTGTATGTGTGTGAGTGTGTACGTGCGTGTGTGTGTAAGTGTGTGTAAGTGTGTGTGTGTGAGCGTGTGAGTGTTGTGTGTGTGTGTGAGCGTGTGAGTGCTGTGTGTGTGTGTGAGCGTGTGAGTGCTGTGTGTGTGTAAGTGTGTATGTGTGAGTGCTGTGTGTGCGTGTGCTCAGTGAGATCTTAACTGGCGACCTCTCACCTCGTGCTCCCGGCGGCCGAGATTGAGCCCCTTCAGCAAATAGAAGCTCACGTGGGCACATAGCCCCCCCCCAAACATCAGAGACCCCATGTGTCTCACACAGCCCCCCCCCCAAACACCAGAGACCCCGTGTGTCTCACACAGCCCCCTCCAAACACCAGAGACCCCGTGTGTCTCACACAGCCCCCCCCAAACACCAGAGACTCCGTGTGTCTCACACAGCCCCCCCCCAAACACCAGAGAATCCGTGTGTCTCACACAGCCCCCCCCCAAACACCAGAGACTCCGTGTGTCTCACACAGCCCCCCCCCCCAAACATCAGAGACTCCGTGTGTCTCACACAGCCCCCCCCCCAAACACCAGAGACCCCGTGTGTCTCACACAGCCCCCCCCCCCCAAACATCAGTGACACCGTGTGTCTCACACAGCCCCCCCCCAAACACCAGAGACCCCGTGTGTCTCACACAGCCCCCCCCCCAAACACCAGAGACCCCGTGTGTCTCACACAGCTCCCCCCCCCAAACACCAGAGACCCCGTGTGTCTCACACAGCCCCCCCCCCAAACACCAGAGACTCCGTGTGTCTCACACAGCCCCCCCCCCAAACACCAGAGAGTCCGTGTGTCTCACACAGCCCCCCCCCAAACACCAGAGACTCCGTGTGTCTCACACAGCCCCCCCCCCAAACACCAGAGACTCCGTGTGTCTCACACAGCCCCCCCCCCAAACACCAGAGACTCCGTGTGTCTCACACAGCCCCCCCCCCAACACCAGAGACCCCGTGTGTCTCACACAGCCCCCCCCCCCCAAACACCAGAGACTCCGTGTGTCTCACACAGCCCCCCCCCAAACATCAGAGACTCTGTGTGTCTCACACAGCCCCCCACCAAACACCAGTGACTCCGTGTGTCTCACACAGCCCCCCCCCAAACACCAGAGACTCCGTGTGTCTCACACAGCCCCCCCCCCAAACACCAGAGACTCCGTGTGTCTCACACAGCCCCCCCCCCAAACATCAGTGACTCCGTGTGTCTCACACAGCCCCCCCCCAAACACCAGAGACTCCGTGTGTCTCACACAACCCCCCCCCCAAACACCAGAGACTCCGTGTGTCTCACACAGCCCCCCCCCCAAACACCAGTGACTCCGTGTGTCTCACACAGCCCCCCCCCCCAAACACCAGAGACTCCGTGTGTCTCACACAGCCCCCCCCCAAACACCAGAGACTCCGTGTGTCTCACACAGCCCCCCCCCCCCAAACACCAGAGACTCCGTGTGTCTCACACAGCCCCCCCCCCCAAACACCAGAGACTCCGTGTGTCTCACACAGCCCCCCCCCCAAACACCAGAGACTCCGTGTGTCTCACACAGCCCCCCCCCAAACACCAGAGACTCCGTGTGTCTCACACAGCCCCCCCCCAAACACCAGAGCCTCCGGGTGCCTCACACAGCCCCCCCCCAAACACCAGAGCCTCCGTGTGTCCCACACAGCCCCCCCCCAAACACCAGAGACTCCGTGTGTCTCACACAGCCCCCCCCCCAAACACAGAGACCCCGTGTGTCTCACACAGCCCCCCCCCCAAACATCAGAGACTCCGTGTGTCTCACACAGCCCCCCCCCCCAAACATTAGAGACTCCGTGTGTCTCACACAGCCCCCCCCCCAAACATCAGAGACCCCGTGTGTCTCACACAGGGGCCCCCCAAACACCAAAGACCCCGTGTATCACACAGAGGACCCCCCCATGAATCACAAATCCTGTCTGACACAGGGATCCCTTAAACCCGGGAGCCTATCCCTGACGAAAGGGGGGCCCTGACCCTTTTACTCCCACACAGGGGTCCCCCATAAACCAGGGGTCCCCCCCGCCCCTTATACCCAGGGGGCCATGTACCCCCTCAATCCCGGCAGTCTCATGCGTGGGGTCTGACTGTAGGGGGGGGGGGCGTGGGGGGGTCCCCTTTGTACGTTAGTTCTATAGGGTAGGGGGTGCATGGGGAGTTATTTGTGGGTAAATATCAACAGCGGAGGGGTGGGGAGGGGTGGGGGGGGCGGGGGGCGAAAAATCCTAACGGGGGGGGG